GAAACTTAATCGAAATCTACCATCCTAACTCGCCATTAGTAGAGACGAAATCAACTACATGAACAAACAAACGGATCATCCTACCATATACAAAAGACATATCAGAAATCGCAACGGGATTAGTGAGGTCGTTTGCAATAGGTGTAGCACATAAACCAATAAAATAACTTCAAACAACCCTGTGTAAACCAGAGGACGAAATGACGGAATAAAAGTCGGACAGCATCTACAAAATAAGCTGTCCGAACGGCAAAAAATACCAAATCGAACAAATTGGACATTGTCTTTAGCTTTGCCCACGTGAACATCAATTAGCAGTCAAATGGCACGATATATATGGATAACCGTGAGCATATATTCAACTGGGAGAATGTTGAAATCTTTTTCTGTTCCTTTTCCTCGATATATATAAACTGATTGCTTAGCATATGGTTCTTCCTCAATCAGAACACATCTTTACCCAAGATATTAATCTTAACTGTAGCAGTAAGTATAATATCTGTACCATCAACTTTGTCCCAAGCAACATTCACGCCGCCATTAAAACCCTCAAATCCACTGCCACCTGTGATGCGGGTGAAATACCATCAGTGCTTCTGAAAATGGCAGGATCAAACATTCTGACACTTGCTCAGAATATTTACACTGTCCCCAGAGGATGGTATATACCTTGAAACCTGGAAATAAACCCATTTTGTCTCTAAACATTAATCAGGTCCGAAAAACTCAATCCAAAACTACAGACCAATTAGTATCACCCCAGTTATCTCACGGGTAATAAAGAAAGTGATAAAAGATTGACTATCCGATCACTTACTCGGGGAAGGTCTCATTGACCCCTGACCACATGACTTCATTAGAACTAGGTCATGCACCACATGTCTGATAGACTTCTCTAATGAGATTACCAGCATACTTAGTCAAAATCAACTAGTGATAGCATCGTGTTTTGATATCAAGAAGGCTTTCCATAAGGCACCTAACTCACAATCTCTTATGCAACAGACTACAGTCCATCGGAATTACTGGCCACCTATTGCAATGAATTAGGTCTTTTCTCACGAACAGATACCAAATTACCAAAGTTAACTCTACCACATCTACTCCTCGACCAATTGCTAGTGGTGTTGTGGAGGGCAGTGTTTTGGGTCCACTGCTTTTCATGATCTACATCAACAGCTTATGCACCTGCTTCAACACTGGCGAAACCTACCTCTAAGCTGATGACCTAAAAGTGATCTATCAAACTAAGAAATCTGAAACAGGAAACTGGACGCTTACAGTCCAGTATGAACTTGTAGTGAATTACTTCGATGAAGAGAACGCTATTGGCGTAATGGAAACATTTATTATAACCAGATGTAACAGTGATTGCTTTTGTTTACCCTTTTGTTCAACTATACCAAAAACACTTGTTTTCCGTCGTCTATAACCTTGAACTTGCTCATGTACACACCGCCTGTAGACTTTAGCACAGTCTCGGTATTATCTCAACACCGCGAGATCGCCAACAAATATATCCTAACTGAAACCACCACTGTCCTTTTGATATTTCTCCTGCGGAGAGATTTAACCTGGTAATTGGCACTTAATCGGTCTGTGTCGGTGATCATAGTCAATCTCGACGCGGCACATCACAAACTTAATAATGTAGACAACTGGTGTAAGCGTTATAACTTAGAACTCAATAACGATAAATGGGATTTTATACGTTTTGGAGAGACGGCTGCGAAAATTAATCTCAGTCTCAGCAGGAATGTACTGCCTTAACTCACATCAATAACTGATTTAAGAGTACATTACTCGCACAGGCTAGACTTCTCTGAACGTATTTCCAACCAATTTTCCCGAATGAGAAAAGTGCTGGGTTTCATTTTTCGTAGCCTCATACATAGAGAATCCAGAACAATTATCTACAAAACATGCATAAGACGTATTGCGGTGTTAGTGGGACATAAATGGAATTAAAGCATGACTACGTTGCTACTCGCTGATTGACTAATTTCCTATCCAATCAGCGCCTGATCGAATCTTGGAGAACAGGGTAGAAAATTCTCGTACTGTTAGCTGCATGCTGATTGGTTAAATCTAATCTAGTCGATCACGTGAATTTTATTCCAGAAGCTTCTCTCATGTGAATGCTATCAATAGACTAGCGTTGTATCTATTTTTGCCTTCCTGCCTTCTTCGCCTTCGCCATAACCTCTGGCTTCTTATTCCTTGCTATTTTGGAATATAATCTTTTCCTGTTCAACTGTGTTTTGAACTTGTCCGGTGTTTTGTGGTCAGAGAATACTAAGCAATAGGATTTAGCCGGGAATTATCTAAGCAAGCGTTACAACATGCAGAATACCGCTCATCCTTAGTTTAGGACTTGCGCCTATCTGATCTGCTAAAGGTTGAAGTAATGCAAAAGAATTCCACTCGAAAACTACTACAAATTAATTCACCCACTAACTATCCTACTCGAATTTATGAAATCGGACTTGATTCACTATGGAAAAGAAAGCTTAATTTCAATCTAATCATCTACTTTTAGGCCAAATACTCCTCTTGTAATGTAGTCCTTATCCAAGGCCTGTATATATATATATATAACCTTCGAGATAAATTATCTGCGGCCGAATTTGAGAAGTATAATTCAAAAACTCCAGAAAACTTCATCACAAAGTATGTACTGATATGGAATAGCCTCGCCTGCATTGTCTCCTTCACCATGAAATGTGAAGCAACGCTCTGGTTATATATATATATATATATATATATATATATATATATATAGCTCCGTTGTTCTTTTTTCTCTTTTTCCCCCTTTAGACCCTGCTCAAAACCCTATTCACAGTGGAACATCCATCCAGCCTCCAGGCCAAATGCACCGTCTGTTCGCGCATGTCTTGGTCGTAGACTGTATCGAGCGTGTTCCTAACAAATTCACTCCTGCATTATGCAAACTACCCAAGAACTCTACTGTATACCTTCCCTATTATAATTACTAATAATGCAGATTATTGTGTGAGCTCAAAAATAACACTCCAAACCTAATAATAATTATAATTTATCCTCAAATAACAGCATAACCCATACTAAATATGCTACATCCGAAAATTATTTCTGTAAACTTCTTAATTAAACAGACTAAGGGTATCCGATTATTTATTGGCCTTATTGACTAGAGTGTATATGGATGGGATTGTCTGAACTGGAGGAAGAGGCACCTCCGTGAAAATACCCTAACCTCACTATAATCATCTTCCCGCAGTGATTCAGTACTGCAGTACCACAGACCGTGTGTTGAGCCTGTATAACAAGACCTGATTCACCTCACAGTTTAAGGTATGATAAGCCAAGCCAGTCACCAGCTCGCGGTCTTTGGACTTCAAGTGGCAACGAAATAACTGGCACGTCCTGTTCTCATGGGATATGTCGTCGATAAAGATAAAAGGGATAGCGTTTCCAATGAAAAAGGCTACTCCGTCTTCTTTACGCTCCTAGATTCTGCTGACTCTAGCTTATGTGAAAATTTCAATATGATCGATATTATCCACAGGCTGATTCAGCCAAGTTTATATCATATTATTCACATTCCGCTTAATTGTGACTTTCTGCACATCTAGCTGATTTCTATTGTTGAGTAAACCTTAGGCATTTATATAGCAGACATGAAGACCACTCAAATTATCATATTGATTTTAGTACTGTTTTTTTTGTAACCCTTATCATCTGAAAATTTAAAGTTCTAAGGCCTTTTTCGCCAGCATCTCGACATAATTTTGTCCATTTTTGGGCCTATCGTTTTCAAATACGTTCCCTGTGTGAAAAGTCATTACGGACAAAAATCTAATTTCTTTCGCCCTCCATTTTTATCTGAAAGATATCTGATCTGTCACACTAACCAATCTTTTGTTTTGGAACTGCTGTTGTGGGAACTGGTATTTCTTCGACAACATGTGATAGCTTCTTTTTCACTACTCTTATCCATTCGTTATCACCCATCCGAGTGGCGATCACCGCTGAGTTGCGTGCGGTATGAGATCCGTCATGATTTAGGGCGATTTGATTTTCAGATAATTTCTGCCGAAGACGGACCTAGCCTTAAGACCATATTTCTTCGACGTTTCCAGGATGCTTCCGTTTAGAGGACGGGAAACCGAAAAATGTGCTCTTTTGAGTTTTCGTTCCTCATGGACCTCTTTGGGATTAATGTTTCCTCCTTTGGCCCATCTATGTCATTCAACACTGGACACGAATAAGATGTTTGAAAATCGATCTGTATGTTCAAAAGGCGTGAATCACCTAAACTATCTCGATGTCGCCTATTTATATGCTTTGTGGCAGCGTTCATCATAGCAGCTCGTTGGATCCGAGCTGCACTGACGTCACAACTAAACACATAACTTTTAGGTGACCAGTTGGAAAGATGCACTTGTCACATTTGTAGGGGTTTTGTGGCTCTACCTTTAGCACCCATCACATTGCACACCAACTTCAGTAAAGTGTCGACAGCTCAAGCATCAGCCCTTGTATTTGTTTACGGAGTTCAGATATTGAAAAGAGGTTTACAAATAAAATAGACATATAAAGGCAAAATTCGATAACCAGAATAAAGCAGATAATCGGCTTGTCAGATCCAATCGTTCAGAAAATAAAAAAACCATTAATTTATTAAACACATGCAAGATACATCTGTGAAAGAAAACAATACATGATTCCAGTATTACTATTAGTTTTAATTTAACTAAAAATTAATTCATTTAGGATGAAAAACATAAGTTTTGATGTGTAGTGGCTATCAAAACTGTAAAATGAACTCAGAAAGGCAAAATACCTCTGTTCTTATTAAGTAGAGTGCACTAGTTATGAGTAATTTGTGTGCTTGTAAAGAGTAAAAATGATGTCTTTGAGCTCAATAATTTACTTACATTTGTCGGAGTCGTACCGAAAGAACAAGAATCGGAAGGAGAGAAACCAACTGGTTTATATTAGGCAGAGCGGAAGATATTGACAATTGGAAGGTAAACGTGGGACGATTGAAGGCTGGTTTCGTTTTCTATTGTGACCGAAAATGGGTTCGTTGTTCCGGAGTGAGGAAATGCAGCTATCCCAAATGTTTCTGCACACAGACATAGCCTATATGTGCATATCGGAGTTGGGAGAGTTAGGACTAGTGCAATTTCGAGATGTAAACAGTGGTTTCTTTATTCATTCTCTTAGACTGTGCCAGGTACCAACGCATTCCAAAGAAAGTTTGTGAATGAAGTTCGAAGATGTGATGAAATGGAAAGAAAATTAAGTAATTTTTCACCTTAGCTGTTAATTATCATAGGGTTTCTGGAGAAGGAGATTGAAAAAGATAAATTTCCTATACTGGACACTGACGAAAATCCAGAAGCTCCTGCTCCACGTGAAATTATCGATTTGGAAAGCATTTTTGAAAAACTAGAAAATGAACTAAAAGAAGTGAACTCAAGTGCCGAAAAGCTGAAAAAGACGTACTTGGAATTGTCGGAACTGAAACAAATCTTGCGTAAAACGCAGATATTTTTTGACGAAGTAAGTTCGTATGTTTTCCCTTGAGTTTATTCTTCAGTCCCAAATTCATTCATGACATACATAAAGTAATTTATTTATGATGACCTGGTTCAGAGATGTGTTTCAGAATGTTTTTACAGTTATGGTCTGTCTAGCATGATAAAAATGGTATACAAAAGTGGTGGTACCAAAGTTTACTTATTCGTATGCTAAGAGTAATTTGAAGTTTTGTCTAAACATAGTGTCAGGTTAGCCTTCGTTCCTCCGCTTGAGAGTTAGGCGAGTTTTCGCGTGATAGGTTTATCAGTTACCGGTTGAACTAACCAGCTGGTTATTATAAATTACTTATCATTCAGAAGTCGGTTTCTTGTTATTAATTTAGTTGTCAATGTAAACCTACTCGTCTTCCTTTGGTCCAGGCGTTAGTGCGCACACAGCTACCTGTACAGTACATAAATATGAACCGCTAGTCCTGCTATCATCACCACTACGGGATTTGAACAGGTTGTGTCGTCTCTGCGCTAATGCGGTATGGCAGCCTGAACTGATGTACTTACGTACGAAGTTCCACGTATTAACTTCCTGCCGACATATAACTCGTTAGTTTCCCACGGCTTTTTGATGTGTATTAAGGAGAATCTGCCATAAATTTCCTTGTTACTTTCTTGATTGATTGTGCTGGTTTTCAAATTTTGGATAAGTTCACTATTGTGCTGGTTTCTGTTTATCGTTGCTGACCAACTACGATAATAGGTCTTATTTCCAATTAAGTATTAGGAGAGCTGATTGAGTAAGTCAAATTAAATATACAGTAGCGGTTTACTGTGATAAGTAAATCAGATTTCAAAGGAATCTGAATGTCGATTATGCCCTATTTGGAAAACCGTAACAGGTGATCAAAGTACTCAAATCTCATTAAGTTATCTTCGAAATCCAATTGCTTTTCACTTGTCTAGGTAGTGTCTGGTAAAGAAAGTCCATATTGTTGGAGTTTATTTCTCTTTATTCAGTTAGCTAAACATTATTGACAGTTAGAGTACTCGACTACTCACTGTTAGTCAATACTTGAAACGCATACTTCAAGTTACAGATAAGACTTTACTAAGTGACGAATACCATATTATTGGTCGCTGATGACTCAAATCGCCGGTATTATTTGTCCACTCATAATGGTTAGGAATATGACAGACCTTGGTTTAGTCTGGGTTACCAACTTTGGTTTCAAATAACAGCTATTAAATTTACTACAACCATCTGATATCCTTAATTGTCACATAACAGAACACATTTGCGGCGTTTTTGAGCGTGATTAAGTTGGTACGGTTAGCTTACGGATTAAGACGTAGGCTACCTTAGAGATCGGCAAGTTGTCGGTTGCTCTTTTCCTTGTATTGCATGTGGTTATACCTAATTGCCTGAGCCGTTGTCTGGTCCTTTTGTCGGTTCGTCCGACTTCGGTGTTGTACTGCTGTGAATAAATTAGTGCCAAGCTTTACCGATTGAACGTTTGACCATACCTTCCAATGATTTGCCCCTTCGTCGACTGAATCGCGAACAGGCTCTGCACGATCCTGCAATGTCAGAAGAAAATATTGGGCTCCTCGGTGGTGAAGGAGTGGGTGCTACTGGTGCTGCTGGTGGATTACGATTGGGGTAAGTTAAAGCTTTCATGTTCACATCATGTATGTATTACTTATTAATCTGTTTATGATTTTTAGGCCAATATAGAGTCTCATCTAGACTTAAACCCAACGAATGATCCAAATCATTATTATTCTGAGAGGAGTTTGACAGTGCACACTAACAGTGACAAACGTCATGTGGAGTGAGTGTACAAAAAAATCCTGGAAATCACCTATAAACTCTGAAGACCTGTTTATTGCTACTCCTTACTAATGATCACAAATGCTTTGTTGATTTATGATTTGTTTCCTTTGTCTCGTCGAGTATACTTTTGGTTTATATTAAACGGTTACATATTTACTTCCTTGACCACATTTTGTTCAACTTCACGGGTTTTCGTAGACAATGTAAAACTCCATAATACCAACACATATGTACGACTAATCCAAAACTTCTTTAGGTTTAGATTTTATGTCTGGGTATTTGTAGCATCACGCGTCACACATCGATGCGGATTGTACGTAGCACATAATTCGGTTTCAGTTGACAACCTTATCTGTCGAATTAAATCGTATTTTTATGTCCATCTATGGTTTACTCGAAAGTTAGTGTAACTACACTACATGTATGCCCTTTGCACTAGGGTTTTAGTGGTGGTTAGGTCACTCGATTTGGAAATAAATACCACACTAAAGATAACTTCTCTATCTTAAATTATCATCATACACCGAAGCAATTGCCGCCGCACTAATTCTAAAGTTCATTCCTATCATCTCCAAATTTATTTTCCGAATCATGTACAGAACGAAAAATGGCTTATGCACGCATTTCCGAATACATTTAAAAAGATTTGGCTGAAAATTGCCATAGTCTTTTTGAGTACAATCTCGTGAAATTAAGATAGTTTTAGTCGTATCGTCAATTAAGCATCATCATGGTAATTTGATTTTTCGACTGCTCTAGTTTATTTATTTTTATTTCATTTTTACTCACTCCACACCTCCTGCACTTCATAGTACTCCTGTGTTGATTATGTAATCAATCCTCTCATCCATTTTTAAAGTGTGTAATTCATTCAAACCTTTACTATTTTCACGTTTTACCGTGTTTCTCCTACTTACATTTAGAATATTTCTGTAACGATTACATGAAATTAAACTTATCAGCAACCTATCATGCTCCAAGTTTATGTGAAGTGTTGGGAACGGTTGAAAATTATAATAGTAAATAGGCCTGTTAGTTCTTGTGCAGGAATTCTACTACTTTTTGCATTTCTAGTTTTTATGTTCACATAGCCATGTTTCGCACAGTAGCTTTCAAACAAATTATCATCATAACATACAAATAACAAGTCAACTTTTTTAAAACTAGATTTCTTGCTGGGATCATCCTTCGTGAACGGTTACCGGCTTTCGAGCGTATGCTGTGGCGGGTGTGTCGGGGAAATGTTTTCCTTAAGCAAGCAGAAGTTAATGACCCGTTAGAAGATCTAACAACGGTGAGTAAAACAATGCATAATCATGTTGGTGAGTCTTTAAAGAAATCTGATCATTAATTTCTGCCATTAGAGTTAGAAAAGTATGTTGTAGTAGCAACATGCCAAGGTTTTCGACACAATATCCAAAAATGAATATTCTTGCTTCGATGATAAAGTTATTAGCTTACTGTATATAAATGAATATTCTTTATGAGTAGTACGTGACTTATTGCATTCGTCTATTTGATTTGTAAAAAACTACTCTTAGGGTCAGTTGTAAATCATTTATGGGTTCCGTTTTTTAAGTCTTGTGTTTCTGTTGTTCTGTTTGTAGATCTGATAGCCGGAAATGTTGCGTATATCTAATTATGAACCATGTAAACGGAAATTTCCCTCGATTCATTCTTAGTTTCCTGACTCTGATTGCGTTAAAGGATTTTCACATGCTGATATAGCTTACAGCCCCACATATGAGTACTTGATTCTTTGTATGTAGGTCCTTTCTAGGGATTGCTTTCTTGCGAAAGGTATGACTCGCTGATTCATTTGGATGCTTTGTTAATTATAATTTAATTGTACTGAAATACAGTTCACAGTTGTAGTTTCGAATGGTCGGTGTTTTTGGTTGTCGCTTCCTATTTAATAGTGGAAACTAGTGACCTAGAATGAAAAGACCATAATGCACTACTCCAGTCTGGCATTTATTGTATGCTGTTGTGTTACTACTCGTTTGCTGTGATTTGTCTTAGACATTTGGGGAGTATGAGTTTTTCTGAATTGTCGTGTATTTATATCGTGCGATTGTACAGGAGTGCTCAAGTTGCTTATGCACTTAATTTTATTTGATTGGTCTGAGAAAATAGTTATGTATGTTATACTAGGTCAGAGGATTTTCGCTTGATAAGGTATCAAGTAGGTGTTTAGGTCCGGTTAACAATCTCATTGTTACCAAAGAGTGACATTACAAGTTTAGGAGATAACAATCTTGAGTTGGATATTCACTCAACGCTGAACCCAACTAGATCACATCGCTATCAGCCACATATGGAGGGGTTCAATAGAAGTCTGTCTCTCGTTCTGGGGCACATGTACTTACTAGATGTAAATAAGGGTTTTACTGAATCATAGTATAGCTAAGAATATATTTCAGGAACAACTAGAAAAACAGTGATTCCCAGCCTAAAACAGCTTGGAATAATATCCAAAAAGCTGTGGAAACAGCGGTGATATCTTCTAGTAAGGTAAATCATAAGGTTAGGGAGAGGTCGTGGATATCAGTAGCATCCACCGAACTGATAGATGCTCGTAAACTCATCCCACCTGGCTCTGAACATGATGAAGAGCGAAATGAGCGTAAGCGTTGGCTGATAAAAAGCCTACGCAATGATCGCGAACAGTGTTCGCTGGCGAAAGCAAAAGCAATAGTAAAGGCAGAGGCGATAGGTAACAGTAAACAACTGTTCCGCCTTATCAAGGAAACGGGTATTAGAAACCCATCTGTTAGCGAAACTATCTCTGAAAAGGATGGGCTTATGACTCTCTCTCAACCCAGGAGATTGGATCGATGTGCAGAACACTTCAGGGATCAGTTCAACTAGCCTTCAGCCGCACTTCGGTTGCCCACAATCTCCACTTATCCTGAAAGGCAAATCGATATAAACCCTCGGAGTCTTGGGAAAGCTGTAGGATATATTTAGCGAGGGCGAGCTTCAGGACTTACCCCTGAGGTTTTCAAGGATGGTGATCCACTTCTAACATTTAGATTGACTGAGATCTTAGGTAGAATTTGGGGACTGGACGTAATCCCGTCTGACTGGTCTCAATCCCTGATTGTCCCAATTTGTGAGAAAGGACAAAAGTCTTCTTATGACAATCACAGGGGAATAAGTCTAACTAATATATTTTCTAAATTGTTAGCCTCGATTATACTCAGACGCCTAACTATAGCTCGAGAAGAGGAGACTAGAGAAAACTTGTCTGGTTTCAGACCTGAACTTGTCTGAATAGACCACATTTTCACACTAAATCAGGTCTTAGAACAGAGACACACGTTCAAACGCCCCACAAAAGTATTATTTGTCGACCACAAAGCAGTATTTGACTCTGTGGCTTGTGAGGTTCCGTGGCATTATCTGTCATTAAAAGTTGTACCAAAGAAGTACATTAACTTTAAACAAGCTCTCTACTCGAACACTACAGGTCGAGTTAGAGCTTATGGCGAACTGTCATCGGAATTTTCTACTTCATACGAATGTACTGCGCAGTAGTTCGCTCCGTCCTAATTTATGGCTGTGAAACATGGCCAGTAAGAATAGAAGATATTCGTAGGTTACTTGTATGCGATTATGAGTATCTTCGAAGCATTGTTAGTATATTCTGGGACCTTTGAGGAAGCAATGCTGTTGTTGGGAAATGGGTTCTTGGTAAGGATGGCAGATCATTAGATGAAGTATTGAAACTTCATCAGTTGAGGTGGTTGGAACATGTGTTACGAATACCCAACAATCGACTACCTTCACGAGCGATGTTTTTTGGTGTAGGAGTGGGTAGGAAGAAAGCTAGGGATCGCCAAACCATAACATGGCACAGGTCCATGAAGTCATTGGCAGGTTGACTGAATCATGTCGGTAGGTGTCGACTAGCTGGTTGGGGTACGCGAGATTATAGTAATCAATGGTAAGAGACCTTGAGTGACACGGCTCAAAACCGTTTGCAATAGCACAGGTACGTTCACTCGTCGTATTCTATGAAATCCAAATCTGAATTCATCATCTATACCTTTCTCTTTCCATTTTTATCTCACTGAATTACACTTTCTGAATAGTATCCCTGAACCCCAATCTTCTACATTACCAGTAATACTTCTACTATCTCCACCACTATAGGCTTTGAACTGACAGTTGCTTCTCTCTGCTATTGTGGTATGGCAACTTGAACTGATGTACTTACCTACAAAGTTCTACATTGTAACTGACTGACTCAAATCTCAGTTAATAAATTTCTTTTAAACAGTTTTCCTATTAAGCTCTCGTATTGTCAGTTTCCATTCTATGTTGCCATAAACTGAGGGGCAATTTCGATCGATACATCCTTGTTTACACCCTAGATGTACATATTTCATCAAGTGGTATGACTTGGGTATCAACAAAATCAATTTCTATAGTCGCCCTAACAAACTCTTGTAAACTTCGATAAATAATTCTAGGTTTCTACGTATTATATTGTGAGTAAATCATATTAGTTATGTTAGTATTAGTAATGCCAATCTTGTGGATATGGTGTTGGAACTGTTTACAATGCACGAAAGTCCACTTATTTCATACTTTCGACACAGTTCGACATCTTCCGTCGCTTGTTTCCGAAGAAATAATAAGAAATTTCAAAATTATAAATACAAGTACTTATGAAGTTTTCTAAACAAATGTCTTCATATAATCTACTGTAGGCCAACTCATACCTCTGAAATATCATGTCATTTTATTCTGTTCTTGTTGTCAGCTCTACCAAAAATAGCGACTCTGTTATAAATTGGAATTTTTCTGTGGTTTTATTAGACCAAATTTCTGATTACTAAAGTTAATGAAAGAATGTCAATCGATTGATTAACTTAATGCTATTATGTAACTGATCATTGACTGCTCACGAGGCCATGATATGACTTAGACTCTCGAATAACTCGAAATCATAGGCAAGACCACTAACCAGATAAATAGTTCTTCATGTAACAGGATAACATGCCTATATGCAGCATATAGTGAAATGTTATTGGTGATTGGAGGGAATTTCCTTCTAGATCACTCATTCCCCAATCAATTTAGACGACTATTATGCCTAATCTTTTGAGCATTGTATCAGATTCATCGGGGAAATATATTTCCCGTGATTTTACTTCCGAAACTTCACTTGTCTGCATAGTCTTGTATCGATTTTCCTCTGTACAGTTTCGGAAATAAAGTTTTTAAAAAGTGATGCCTTTTAACTAGGTTCACTTGTTTCTATATTTTAATGATTTTTTAGCGTACGAAACCTTTACCCAAACAGTACTCATAGTTTGGTTTTGCCTATGTTTGTATTTTTTTCAGGGTATGCCAGTCAACAAATCCGTATTCTTGGTATTCTTTCAAGGTGACCAACTTCGAACCCGTGTCAAAAAGATTTGCGATGGGTAAGTGTTGGGTCTTACTAACATCTGTGCAATAACACGTGCTTTCAAGTTCATCTGCTTCTCATCTCAATCTTAGTATAATTTGTGCATTAGTATCTGTACCGATACAAGAAAGCCGACTATTTTCACTTGTATGTTTCAGTAACCACAGATATTGAACGAACAGGACTGGAAAACTTCACTCATAATCTGAGTTTTAGATATTTGAGTTCTACATATAGTGTAAGTCAGTGTTACAAAATTGTGTGTGTAGTCTGCCTGTTACCTTCAGATACAAGGGTTGGATTAGTGATCCAAGTTGCTAAATATATTTTAGCATATCCATCTTCCGCATAAACAATGGAAATTAACTTCACAAATTGCTTTGCCTTCACGGTCTCGTATGAATATATTGCAGTTACCTCTTTCGCTGCGTAGGAGATTAATGTGGAGGAACCTGTCATATGTGCAGAAGGATAGGGACTTTCTCTGACTAAAATTATCCTTGTAAGTAATTCGGGAGTTTCTAGTCCACTGTTTTTTCTATGGAACCAAGTTAGTTCAGTGTTTCGAATCCTCTTCGTACCAACTCAAACTGACAATTATTTATTTTCTTAACATAGTACCAGATTTTGTTCTCAGACCTCGACAGTTTCGAATTTATTATATCCGACAATTTCTTAAGGAAGACATCTTTTGACCACCTAATACAGTTTTTGCTCTGAGGACTTAAGAGAGAACTGATTATATGAATGCGCAATATCCAAATAATTTTCATTACGAACTGACATCAGCTGAAAAGCCATTAAAAAAAGCCACAGCAGTTTAGATTCCTGACACTTAGTGGTAAATTTTAGTGGGATGATTGAAGGTATTTTAGGAAGCAATTGGTTTCTCCATTTCAAAACCAATGGTTGATATGACCAGGTACATACTTTTTGTCGTCTTTTTGAATTATTTGTTTGACTATAGATAATTTATTACTGTAATCTGACTAGTTAAAATCGATGCATTGTTAGTACTCCTGATTAACTGCTTGTATCTATAGTGTTTACATTTAAAACTCATTATATCCGAAGAATGAATTTATCCTCCAAATGACCTGGTAAAGCCGAGAGTAGACACAGTTCGCCCTCCCTCTTTTAATACTCTCATATGACCAGGCGCATCTTACTCAGTACCTTCTCGTGGTGGGGCATTGTTCACAAAATTGAGAAGACGAAAAGAGTGTCCGGCGCTCTAACCGAAATGGTAGGCATGGAGGATTCACTTAGGAAATAGGAAAACCCTGATTGCGAACCAATGGTGCCGATGGGCTCCAGTATCTTGAGAGAACAAATATTGTATGGAGCTATTGTATCATCTGACGCTGCCTTACTGACATGTGGATTAGACTTTCAGGTCATAGGCTCTTAGAGTGGCCCCCTATGGCAACCACCTGCTTGCATTTAATCACCCGTACAGTATCCCAGCTCATTTACAAATTCAATAATTCTTGTGGCGCATAAATATTTCGATGCTCCTTTGTACCAATGTTTGTGTTTAAATAAATTCCAAAATCAATTCAACCGCTGTGAAGCATGAAACCTGCTTAATAAATAAAACTGACAAACTAGTAATGATTGTCCTTCAATAATTAAAGAAATGCTTGTATTAATACTCTTCGGGTTAAAATATAAGCTTTATTCTTATTAATCACACTTATATGGCGCTAAATGTTTAGATATGTAAAATGATGTAATTAGGCTTGCGAATGGCATCATAAGTATCCTTAAAGAGGTTCTTGTTTCATTTCCCTTATCATTCCTGCTGTAGAACTCTTTCAAGTTGACCACTATTATGTGCTTCTCTTTTTGACGGTATAGAATTCATATCCATACTCACTTGATACTTGTGGTAATTGCGATCGCATACATCCTCGTTTACAAGTATCTCTTCATCCACATCAGAAACATCTGCATTATTATTTGTGAACATCGCAAGTTCGCACTTAAGTGGCAGCATTAAAGATATCTCGTAGATGATGATTCCTGGTCTCTCGATTTAGGTAAAGTTCCACAAACTAACCATTCCATGTAATGTACATAGACTGAAAACCGTTTATCTGATAAGCTAGAAACGAAAGATAATACTTTGAATCTACTTGGCTGTGGTCTACGTTGAGGAGGATGTTTTTCGACAACCACTTCAGAGAAACTGATGTCAGTCTTAGCGTAAAACTAGTTAGCAGAAGGTGACAAGGTAATCTATATTCAATCTCAAAGAGTAAGGTGCATGCTGCAAGTGTGTGTTTTTTGTAAACTAAGGATTTGCGCTTGACGTTCAATCGTGGTTTTGCAACCGCGACTTATAAACTATTTTGGAACTTAAGATTGTATCCAGGATCTAGTCCACAGAAGCACACTGAAGCCTGAGAACAAGAGTGCTTCCTACTCAACCGTGTAATTTAGAATTTTGCTGCGGCGGTTCCAGTGGAATTGGTATTTCAATATCTAAGAAGTTTGGTAGATGCCAGGAGTGCATTTAACTATTTGTGCTACTTTGGTGATAATTGTTAGTGGATATATCTTTTAATCAAAGCGTCCGCGGTTTCTATCAGTGGTAAATAAGTCTAAAAACTATGAGACAGTCAAAAAGTATCGCATTTACTTGTTGGCGCTTTTTGCACAAATCAAATTAACGAACAGTTGGACAACTTCCGATCGTGGCCTCTACAATCTTGTCAAAAGATAAAGCGTTGAGTATAACACCCTTTTAACGACGTTACGGTCCAGTTGTACTCCTCATAAAACGTTGCACGAGTTTGTATAAGTCCTGTTATTGCAGTAGCTACTGTTAATGAATCATCTGTAACCATCCCATGCACGTCACGTCCATTAGTTGACTGCTTGAGGGATTCGAACCAGTGTACATGTATGCCATATTCTACGTCACGTTTGACTAACTTACTGACTGGATATTAATGCAGAAGTTTTTCAGCGGACGAAGACCAAAGAAATTGACATTGTCATTAGACTTATGTTGAGTGTCACAATGTGATATTAGGAGAAATTTCTGTTCTTGGTTTTGTACATCAAATCAAAACTAGCTAACCACATTCAAGAAACGAATAGTTAAATTATTTGGTTGGCGATGGAGAAGAATTATTAAAGATCACTACCCTCGTCTAAATGATATTCACAACGTCCACCAGAGTAAGCGATATAAATTCAGAATTCTTCATAACTCCCTGCATTTCATTCACACAAATATACACATTACTTACCTGAAAGACTAGCCTGTTGGAAAATTTCGTGCCGCATCTCGAATATGTCCTGCGGAAACAGTCGTTTCAAAAAATCCTTAGTGTGTATAAGGTTGACCACATTGTAGCATTATTTTTCAAGTCAATGTGTTTCGTAATAACTAAGTGTAAATTCGGTTCAATATGACAGGTGTACACCTCTCAGTGTGACAGTCGTATTCTTCGTGTAATTTCTGTGTGAACCTTGTATATGTTTTGCTGTAAACATGTGGATCTTTTCGTTTATATTTATTAACTGATCATCAAGTGTATGTAAAATCAGCATATAAGTGAGTGTATCTAGCTTAACGTCACCGTTCTTTTGGAGAGTCAATATATCTACATTCTTACTAGTCCTCATGTTTTCACTTCGCGTTGTGGGATTTCCGGTAGTTTTTTTTAATTTTACAAGCAGAAGGATCACAAATTTTACGATCGGCAGTGGATATTAACACCAAGAAATAATGTTATTGATGACTCTGGAATCTTAGCCCGTTCCACATACTAAACGTATTCGCTTGAAAATAAGTTGCAAAATTGCAGTCCCAGATTAAAGGTTAAGTTTAGTACTGTTCACTCCTTTGTGTATCATTTTTTACTTTTAACCCAATCATACTTTTGCAAACACTATTTGAGTAGAAACTAGATAATAATATACCTCTATTTAACTCTATTTCCGTCAAAAAACATATATGATTTAATGTTCACTATTTAATTTGAATGTTAATTTCGATTGCTGCATTTTTTCTTGTTATGTTTGACCAAAATAAATTTTAACAATGAACATACACAAATGAGTATTTATTCATTGTATGGATTAAGGTTTTACGTGTCTTTTTGTGATGAAAATTCATTTTGATCAATTCTAATGGGTTTTTTTTATACTTTTTTATTTAGGTTCCATGCAACTTTATATCCTTGTCCAGATTCACAGGCTGATCGACGTAATATGGCCATCGAAGTAATGGGTCAAATCCAAGATTTAGAAACAGTGCTAACACAAACTAAGCAACACCGACAGCGTATTTTAGAGACGGCTGCGAAGAATTTACGTGTTTGGTCTATAAGAGTTAGAAAAATCAAAGCTATTTATCATACTCTAAATTTGTTCAACCTTGATGTAACTACAAAATGTATGGTTGGCGAATGCTGGTGTGCAGTGAATGATGTGGATAAGATTAACTTGGCTTTACGTCGTGGTATGGAGCGCAGCAATAGTACTTTACAACCGATTTTAAATGGAATAGTAACTACGGAAAATCCTCCAACATATCATCGGACAAATAAATTCACCTATGCTTTTCAAAGTATCATTGATGCTTACGGAGTTGCACGTTATCGAGAAGTCAATCCAGCACTATTCACAGTCATCACATTCCCATTCCTTTTTGCTGTAATGTTTGGAGATGCTGGTCACGGATTGCTTATGTTTCTTTTCGCCTTGTGGATGGTTGTATGTGAGCGAAAATTAGGCGTAAGTTTGGTTTAGAATTGAAGTTAAAATTAGACGCAACTCATTAATGATCTTTTGAGAGATAGCGAACTAATTTCATACTGAATTCATTAACTTAAGTCTAAAAAAATCGATGAAACGCACCACTATTTAGGTGTTAGCAATATGTTACATTAATAAAAATTCATTATTTGTTGGCTTTTCGAAGTCGTTTGTTGTGCATTTTACCATTAATTCAGGCACACTTGTTTATTCACTTGAGTGATTTATGTATCTCATACCCTTTGTGCACTGAAATGTGACTCGAAACATTCATCATCAAACTTAGTAAAATAATTTAACTGCACATGCATCTTACATTGTAAGGATTAAATAAATGTCCTTAGTTTTAGATACCTTGCCAACCAAGACCTATATATCATCAGGTTATTGTAGCATCAGAAATCATCTACATGCAAAAGCAGTGGTACGGTACCATTTAATCAGGAAAGTGCATTTTTCAATTCACAGTTCAATATACATTATTTCAGTCATTCAACAATGCCGAAAGATATGTTGCGAAGTAAGAATGAATAATAATTAATAAGATTTTGAAGAATTAGGATATTATATTTGAATGCTTCGGAACTGTATCGCCTAGGGTCTCTAATCACCAATTTCGATTGTCCAGAAGTTTCTGTTCAAAATATCTTCAGCCTGTTACAACCTGGACATCAGTCATTAACGTTTTCCATTTGTGGGATACCGTGATCTTAAAATGCATGCACTGTTTCCAATATAATATATCGACAGACATCGCTCGTTAGTGTCAATAATAATTTGGCATTCGTAATTCGTGGACAGGATAGCAGGTAATAACAGAATCCTTTGTAGACCTATATGACCTACACGTGCAACCATTAAGTAAGTTTTATTTAACTTCCGATGTAAATCGAGGATGGGAGATGATATTTCAATTTGTGATCGGATGTTTGAAAATAAGTATATGAACCACTTATTCGTATCAATATTCAGCTCACTTAGAATTCATTTTATCATTTGGATGCTTTAAAACTCAAAGCAAAAATTTTACACTACACGATAGCAAACTGTAAGGTTTCTGTTCTATTGTCTTAGTTGATTTAACGTTCACTGTATTTAGTAAGGAAATTTTATACAAATATGCATTAGCTGTGATCACAGCATATCACAAAATTAAGGCATTCAATATTGACTTGATTTTTGAAGAAATGGCACAAAAGATGAGTGAAAGATAGTATTTCGAAATTAAAAATAATGGAAAAACTAATTGCTACTATTTTAATTCCTTGTTATACACTGCTGATGCTTTTCTTGTAGGCTAATAAGTCTGGAGGTGAAATTTGGAACATATTTTTCAATGGTCGTTATATCATACTTCTCATGGGTCTGTTTTCAATTTATACTGGATTGATATACAACGATATATTTTCTCTATCTGCCAATATTTTCGGTTCCTCATGGTATCCAACATACGATAATAGTGCTTTAGCAAAGGAACTTAGACTCCAGTTAGAACCTCGGACAAGTGTTAATATGTCAGATCGCATGTATGCCGGATATCCTTATCCTTTTGGTTTAGATCCTGTATGGCAGCTATCTGGTAATAAAATCATGTTGACAAATTCCATTAAAATGAAAATGTCTGTCGTCTTGGGAGTACTACACATGTTGTTGGGTATTAGTTTAGGTGCTTTCAATTACAGGTAAGTCCTTCCCATAAATTTCGTTTTCCATATTTTTCATAGTACATGTTAAGAAAACTTTGTATCAACTATTGTTCCCAATAGCAACCTTATATATATATATGTTTGTCTCCAGTTATGTTCTGATTGGGATTCGACAAATTGTGTTCTTCTGGGTTATTTGGTCTTTATTCATTTCGAAACATATTGAAAATGTATTTGTTAGATTTAAGTAATTAGCTAGTGTTGCCACCGTTCGCTTTCCGATTCATTTTGAGCTTACAGATTAAATATAGGGTACAAACTATTTAAAAACACTTTTTACAAACGCAATGCATTTAAATTCAAACTCAACTTATTTTTCAAATTCTTCATACCCTTAAGAAGAAAATGTTTTCCGGAAGCAAGTTTTATTTGCTAGTGGAGGAATCTTTTTTCAGCTACATCTTTGTTCTTATTTTTTACATATATTGGATTCCTACTTCACTGATTTTTGTGTACTCTTTCTATAATATTTTTAGTTTACTTATCTCAATGTTTTGATTCTCTTAGAAATAATAAAGATAACCTATCGATTTGGTGCTTACTACTTCCTCAAATCCTTTTCCTGTCATGCATCTTCCTCTATTTGGTGATATTGATCTTCTTCAAATGGGTCGCGTATACGGCAGAAACGGCCTCCTCTGCACCAAGTCTTCTTATTGGTAAGTTCTCAAAATTTTTCAGTTCAAAATAATATCTGTAAAATATCAGTACAAATTAACATCGGATTTTTGCTTTATCCTAACTGGTGCAGTGATCATCGGTTGTTTAGGGTCATCATTTTTCTGTGTTTAGATATATCTATGTTCCTTCTTTTCTTGTAAATAAAATCGTTTGTCGTTTCTTATAATTCAATCTATCTGTTAGTGGTATAATCTGATATTCACCCCCTTATAATCCGAGATTTGATTTGTTGAACTTGTCTTACTGAATGCACTTTTAAAGCAAGAAATTTGATTATTTTGCTATTTCTATAAATATTTCGTAGCATTTTGTTTCGATCTTTGTTAAACATTTAGTTCGTTCAGTTAAATTTGTCTAAGTTCTATACTTACCGTGATATTTGATCTTTTTGAAGACCATTTTAGTAGCACTAACTAAAAACACATGCTAGCATGAAGTTTTATTGGTACCTTTGTTATTACATCTGTCAAATATGATGTTTGTGAATCGTTTGCTAGTACGGTATATTCTGATTCGTCTTTTTCGCTTTAAGTATCCGTTTTCATATTTTTTATGCTTTCTTATTTTCCTAAATTTTATTTACCTAGGTCTGATCAACATGATCCGATTCAGCTATTCGGATGAAATTCCTCCTTTGTATTCTGGCCAGGTTAGACTCTTGTTTGTTTGTGATACCAATTAATGTTTGTATTATTTTGCATCTCGTTATTGCGAATCTCGCTAGCAAAATAAGTAGATCATAAGTAAAGAACTCGTTGATAATTGCATCAGATCATTGATTAAGATAGTCGACAATGCCATCCTTAGCATTGAATACCCAACATATCATGTTATTGTTTGCATTCCAGATATTCTCAAATTTCAAAAAAAGTATTTTATGAAATTAATTTTCAAGTATAATCTAAATTAAAGACTAAATAAATCACGATTCACCAGTTTCCGCACTAAGTTTGAGCATTTACGTAAATGTCGTCACTGAGATGGGGAAAATCTTGATGAAGGGTTCCAAATAGTACGACGTTCTTGGTTTGAATTTGACTACCACCCCTGGTTTAAAATATCCCATTGAATGTTAGTTGCTGTTTGACATGGTACGGCCAAGAGTAGACACAGTTCGCCCTCCCTCTCTAAATACTCTCATATGACCAGGCTCATCTTACTCAGTACCTTCTCGTGGTTGGGCATTGTTCACAAAATTGAGAAGACGAAAAGAGTGTCCGGCGCTGTAACCGAAATGGTAGGCATGGAGGATTCACTTAGGAAATAGGAAAACTCTGATTGCAAACCAATGGTGCCGATGGGCTCCAGTATCTTGAGAGAACAAATATTGTATGGAGCTATTGTATCATCTGACGCTGCCTTACTGACATGTGGATTAGACTTTCAGGTCAAAGGCTCTTGGAGTGGCCTCCTATGACAGCCACCTGCTTGCATTTGGTCATCGGAATTGGTTACTTCAAGTGGCGTCCGTCAGGGCTGTCCACTTTCCTCATTCTTGTTTAACTTTGTCGTTGATATGCTTTCGGAGCCAACATTATCGTTTTACTTTTCAGAGGTGAACCTTCTACCAGGATAATTGCTTGTTGACATAGTCCTATTTGGTGAGGACGCTGAAAAAAACAGTGTCTCCTGACTACCCTAAGCAACAATGCAGGCATGTTCCGTCAAAATGTAAAATATTGCTTCAGGATTGGCTTGTGACGACACCTGAACTAGTGATAGCGAGTGAAGTCGCTGAGCGTGTCGACCACTCCACTTATCTCGGGAGTCTCATCAGTACCGATGGCCTGGTGTGTGACAAAATCTCAACATGGATACAGAAGGAGGTTACTAGGACTAGATTAAAGATGTCTTCGAAGCATTGCTGGTGTATCCTGGAACAATCGAGTAAGCGATGTTGTTGTTAGGAAACGAGTACTAGGTAGGGGTGGCAGATCGATAGATGAATTAGTGAAGTTACACCAGTTGAGGTGGTTTTGACATGTTTTACATATGCCCGACAATCGACTGCCTCGCTGAGCGATGTTTTGTGGTACAGGAGTAGGTTTGAAGAAAGCATGGCAGAAATTCATGAAGTCACTGACAAGCTTACTGAGTCATGTTGACCGGTGTCGGCTATCTGTTTGTGGTCCGTGAGACAAAAGTCACCGATGGTTAGAGACCCTGAATGACATGGATCAATGGCGCAGGTGCATTCATTCCTGGTGTTCTGTCAAATTCTAACCTTCTGAATTCCTCATCACCTTTATCTTTTTAAGTTTATTTCACTAGATTCTACTTCTTGAATAATATCTCTGAACCCTAATCTTCTACATTACCGGTAACACGTCTACTATCTCCACTACTGTGGGACCGGAATTGACTATTATTTCTCTGTGCTTATGTTTCATGGCAACTTGAACTGAAGTACTCATGTACGAAGTTCTACGTTGCTGTTGAGTGATTCATTGGTTGACCCATGCAGTATCCCAACTCACTCACAAATTCAATAATTTGTGTGGCGCATAAATATTCAAGGTCTAGTATCTTGAAGTTGAGGTCAACTTAACTGTAATTGTTGTAATATTGCTCATATTTTGGAAGTACGTAACAGTAGCTTAAAGTAATGAGTTAAAACGGCAGAAAGACTGCAAGTAGTATTTTTGCTCCTTTTGTAGTGACACATTGAAAAATAAGTTATCTAGACCAATGAATTATTTTCTTACCTACTGACATAATTGCTCCTGTCAAGCAAGTTATATTGGCAGATATTCGAGGAACCGATGTTTTTGTACTCACGGATATTGTGGGCGCAGTTTTCTATCAACCATAGCTAACATTGATCGTCTATTTCGTTAATCTAACACGTTAGAATTACTTTAACAAAACTAAACCCCTCAAACAACAAAAGCGATTGCAATACAAACACTTCTGAGCCTCACATTCAACAAAAATTGACTCATCCTCTTATAAATTAACCGATACATTGCAACTACTTAATTATAAAATAGTCTAGTATTATTCATATGCATATCTTCTTTCTCTATTCGTTTACACAATCTAAAATTATCTGACGTAATCATTTTCTTATTCTTGTATACTTCAAAAAATTACTTAACACTTACGCAACATTAACAGTCTATCACATAGTTCATATAAATTTAACTAATTAATTTGCTCTTTAGTTTTTCTACTCAGAACTTTGGTAGCTTCATTGTACATGAAATCGGAAATAAATATCTAATTCTCCAGAATACTTTATAAACGAAATGTAGAATCTGTAATATGATAGACACTAATTTGTTATATAGACTGTATTATAGAATCTTTTGATAACATCTGAAGTACACAGTAGTTAATTAACAGTTGATGGTGTCTGGACGTATATATTACTACTAAGGTATATATTTTTAACTGTTCAGCGAACAATGTAATCAGGATATTTTTCTGGGATGATATAATTGAACAAGCATTTCAGTTACCATTGAGTTATGAGGGTTCGAACCCTTTTGTACATCTAGCTAAGGTGTTCTAAGTAAGACGAAAGGCGCGTCCCTGATTTTAATAATACCCATTATTCATATCTGTTTACAAACTGTCATTGTTCAAAATCTGGAAATTTCGACATGCATTTCAACATCCTATTTGGTAATTAAGCATTAACTGATTCTAATTTTATCTCTTTGAGTTATTCGCCTAAGCACTTAACTATTGGTACAAAGGGGTAACTAACCATTTATCAATTTGTGAATGGCCTAAAATGCTGCTTGATGAACCGAACCGAAACAGGTGGTTTCCTTAGGGGGCCACTCCAAGAGTCTTTGACCTGAAAGTCTAATCCACATGTCAGTAAGGCAGCGTCAGATGATACAATAGCTCCATACACCATTTGTTCTCTCAAGATACTGGAGCCCATCGGCACCATTGGTTTGCAATCAGAGTTTTCCTATTTCCTAAGTGAATCCTCCATGCCTACCATTTCGGTTAGAGCGCCGGACACTCTTTTCGTCTTCTCAATTTTGTGAACAATGCCCAACCACGAGAAGGTACTGAGTAAGATGAGCCTGGTCATATGAGAGTATTTAGAGAGGGAGGGCGAACTGTGTCTACTCTTGGTCGTATCAAGCATCTTGAGACTGCTATGCCTAATACGTAAGTATATTCTGATTTAGTGTATCTTGCAATGTATGACACTGTTCAGTTCTTTTGCATTACCTAATTTGTCATCAGTATCTGACAAGGCAAATGTAAATGCAGTTATGTCTTGTAGTTTCCTATTTATAGCGGTTATTTTTATCTTTGTTTTAACTGATCTTCAATTATGAGAATATAGATGCAGACGTGCTTTCATTCTTCTTTTTCACTCCGTCGTACTTTTTTAATTTTAGAAAGCTGTTCAAAGTATATTGATGGTTGTTGCAGTTATATGTGTTCCTTGGATGTTGTTATCTAAACCCTTAATCTTGTATATGCGTCATCGGGCCATCATGAAGGTATTTGTGGTTATATGTTTTTTTTTTCGTCGTGTTATCTATATGTATGTAGTAAGAAAGTTAGTTTTACTCATCTTCAAATCATGAAAATTTGACTGTTTGTAAATACATACTTCATTTGTTTATTTGTTATACTTTGGTTGAACGATATAAATTTTCAGAATTTCAATGATAATTTTCGCTACTCGTTTTCTATTGTTTGGTGTATATATTTTTGATAGCGTTAACTTTATTGCCTTAAATTCGATGAAGTTTTGTTAGACAACAGTCTACAAGTAGTCTGTTGGCTTCAAATATTGTGTTGAAGAAAATTGATGATTATTTTAATCATTTAAACATCTACAACATCAGTTATTCCCTCTTTTTGCTTTTCTTTTCTGTGACTTTACTATGGTACATCGGCTAACGAGTATATATGTATGTGTGTGTTATTTATAAATAAATAGAAACCCATCAGCCTCGACCCTGAATATGAATTCATAAAATTATTTCGCAAGTCGATTACATTCAGTGAAACACTCCCAAACTGATCAGTGTTATTTATCCATAATTCAGATCCTCGAAACTATATGTTATTAATTGTTCAATATATTTGTAGTTGCATTCTAAGACATTCAAAATATTTATGGAAGGGAAGTAATAATTACTTTTAAATTTTCAAGGAGGATACATATACAGTGATGGTACATCACAAAGTACTTGTTTGATGATATTTTGCAGCATGTTATACAATATTCACTCTTTATAAAGTTGATTTGTGCCTGCTGAGAAAATGTTATGATATCAGATATCCATCATCCTACACTGTTCGTCATTTAATTTCACTGCTATTAATATTCATCCGTTTTTACCTTTACTCTTTTTACTTTGTAAAATACTTTAACTTATTATGTGGAAATAGAATAGGCATTATGTGGATCCTGATGCAAGTGTGCATGTGGTCGTTGGTGGTGTAACAAATCCGAATATCGATGATAGTTTTATTGGTGATAATAATGGTATTATGTACAATGACATGTCCCCACTACATAGAACATCATCCGAAAAACGCTCTAAGGTCTCATTAAATAGTCAAACAGATTCACCAAGTGATCATGATGTTCATAAGGTGAGAATTAAAAAAAATTTTCTCATTATTTACTTACTATTTCATGCTTTTGCTGTTTATTTACAAATTTAATGCGTCATCCAAAAATATCCTTCTCAACAAATAAAAATATTCGTTCATGAGGCTCGTGGCCCTGACAGTCATCCTGATTTGTCAACGAAATCATCCGAAAAGATAACATTAGACGGTAGTGATCTTGGCGATACAAGTGGTGTAGGTTCGATGGATGTGCCTGTGGAGTCTGTAAGTATCTTAGCTACGGTTCACTTACCGATAAATTCTGTGTGTTCACTTTGTTGTCACTTTTGAATGTATCTTCGTTGTCGTGCATAAAATTTTCACGTGTGTACTGTTCTCTAATTAACCAGTTAGAAATTTGAGAAACACCTTATTAGCAAATAATTAATTAACTGTTGAGTTAAGGTTTTTATTAAATCGCTTCTGAACTAAAATTAATATACCACTCTTTTCTTTATATAATAAGAGCATGAAATAAGCCACAGTCTGATATAATTATGTTGGCGAACGGTTTCTCACATAATTTTTATTGTGTGTACCACTAACTTGGAATAACACCCTTTATTTTCGTTGTCTAAATGTTGTATCTGTTGTCCGAAAGTGTTAAATTTCTCATTGCTAGTAAACGTATTGCTGTATGCTCATGTTACATTTATTTTCATGCATTTCAGTTTGATTTCGGGGATATGATGGTCCATCAAAGTATTCACACAATTGAGTTTTGTTTGGGTTGCATTTCCAACACAGCTTCTTACCTCCGTTTATGGGCTTTGAGCTTAGCTCATGCGCGTAAGTGGTAGATTTAAAATTTTCATGATTATAGACAGTTCTATCTTTTTCTAAGATAGTTTACTAACACTTCACTTTTTAACCCCTATCCGAAAAGTTATCCATCACTGTTTACGGTTATTGCATAAATTTTTTACGATATACATTTAAATCCCCTGTACTCCCGCTCATGTTTAGAGCCAGATTAAATAATAGGTTACCAATCATTTCTCTGCTCAGTATATCTATCAAAATCTACTGACGTTTCTTAAGCTTCTTGTGTAAGCAAAAAGCAAGCTTACATCGAGGTTAACATTACTTTACTTTACTTTTTATTTTTGAAATGTATTTTCAGCTTTTTCGATTCGGTAATAGATCTTAAAGTCTTTTCAGTGTTGCTTTTTTGCATCTTATAGGACTTAGGCAATCAAATATTCATGATCATATTCACAGTCTGTGCATCTGCTACAAAACGGGCAGCAATCTTGCACCAACCTGGTAGCAGCACAATCTGTTTGCGCCCATCTTTAGGTCGATTCGAAGGGTTCTATGTCAGGTATTATCTCTTTATTCCTATTGTTGGTGCCGGTTAGAAATAAACAGTTATCTTGGTATAGTCACAGCAGACAATTTCCATCATGTGTTCCTTGATCTAAGACACCGAGAGTTTTACGTGAATGTTCTTTCAACTAGCTCTATTCTGTCTCGCTCTGCATTATAGTCACTCTCTACGATTATTATTTGTGTGCTTTGCTCTTTAATGGCGATCAAATGCTTTCTGTAAAATTCATCACTTTCTTCGTTCAAATTTCAGTCTGTGTGGGCGTAGGGAAAAGCAATGAACAGGCAGTGGCATGTGCTCTTATCTTTGTGAGCTCTTGGTGTACTATTTGGTTTGATAGTGAATAGGTGACTGTCTACTAGAATTTCGCATCACGCTTACTCCTGTTATCCCATTTAATATAAGAATTGTAACAGTGAAATCGACAACAAATAGTTCAGAGCCCAGTTCTATTAAACCACAAATAACACTTCATGAACTCAAGTCGTTAACGTTGGCGGTGCTTAGGAATAAAAGTGAACCTATTAGAGGATGTTTGAATAACAATAAGGATAACAGAAATATGAATTAGTAAAGAGATTTAATATCAAACAGGATTATCTGGAGTTCTGTTGTTCAGTAAACAGTAATCACTTCGTGAAAGGATTGACCATTTTCAATTCCTTCCCTTGAGGCAAGGCAGCGTTATACTAGATACTAGTTTTTTGATGTAAACACGTTGCTGCTATCACACTTCTTCCTAAGCTGCAGTTCGTTTTTACCCACGAACTTTAGATTTCCTGCTGTGTGGTAACGATTATTCATTATTGTGTTCTTCCTGTTCCCTATTTCGTTACTTTCAGTGCTGTAGTAAAGTCTGCAACTAATATGGGTTTTCTGTTTTACGTCCTAACTAATGAAAAAAGTGCTTAAATTTCAAAAACTGATATATCTAAACTTTGTTTTTGGTCTTTATTACAGACTTAATAAGCTACACAATCCTGTCGGGTTTTTTTTGTTATGATCTAATTTATGTTTACTATTCCCTGATAATACCTTTTATTTCAACTGCATTCTTTTACACTTATTAAACAAGAATTGAAATGTGTCAGTCCCCAGACTCATTTTAATTGCATAGACGTAACTAGTATTACTTTATTTCCGGGATCAGATATTTTATCACTAAATTTTCTTCTGTCTGATTTTTTACGTTTGATATGAATTATAACTGCATTTTGAAAGAATCCATTTTCAATTCCTCTTGCTCAGAATTGTCAGAAGTCCTTTGGAGTATGGTCATGAGAATGGGTTTGCGTATATCTGGTCTTTACGGCGGTGTCGTGTTAGCATTCATTTTCGCATTTTGGGCTGTACTAACTGTCAGTATTCTTCTATGCATGGAAGGACTATCTGCTTTTCTCCATACACTTCGTCTCCACTGGTAAGTGCATTACTTCATCCTGAGTTATTATTTTCTACTTAAAACTGTTTGTAATAATGGTCGATACAAATCCCCCAACTCTTCGTAAAATTATGAAGATTAAAGTTAGTCTAGCACGATGGAGAATGGCATCCTTTGATCTATTAACCTCCGAGATCTTTAGGTATTATAGTCTAGTTTCAGTAGATAGATCGACTAAGATACCAGGTTAATTAAACCTAATCCCATCTTTCTGGATTCGATCTATAATCGTCCCGGTTTGTAAGAAAAAACAAAATCCCTGTTGTGATAAAAGGAGAATCAGTTTGGTCATCCTACAACGGACAATGACATCCTCTTAGAAATAAAACTTTCTTCAGGTAAATTTTTAAGATTTATTTCCCTACCGAGATATTTGCTTTTTGACTGTGAATACATAAGTTACAGTCCTATTTGTTAAAGATGTTGACAATCTCTCGAAAACGACAAGGAAAGCTCGTTGAGATTTGTTTCTGACCCTTTAAACGCAAAATGCTTCTTATGATTAATATGCGCCAACTGCTGATTCGGTGATAAGGAGTAAAGTAGCGGAGTATGCTCAGAAGTTCACTTATCTTGGAGGTCTCATTAGCTCTAGTGTGTTAATGTAAGCTAGAATCTCTGTGCGGATTTGGGAAGCTCGGTTGTCCCATAGCAACCTATGACAGGTAGGATATCCACCTGCAAACCAAAGTACACGTATATTGGGCAGAAGTATAACTTCGTTGATAAAAAAGAAATGATTTTTAATATTGAAGAGATGCGTAGGCTGTAGCTGTCTTAAACGGCCAAAGAGGCGATGTTAAGGTTAGTCATAACGTACTTCTCATGGGTTCCAAATCAGTTGATGAGATAGTAATTCTCGACTAATTAAGGTGTTTAGGCTGTGCTACATATTTCCAATACTATCTGCTTAAACATTTTCTTGTGTATGCTTTAAGGAATCTGAAGAGTACCAAACCCAAGATAGCAGGAGCTCATAAAGCCCTTTAGTGAAATCCCAAATTATGTTGTTAGCATTCAGACAACCTCCGTTTATGAAGGTTTTGAGTGGTGTAACTCTAAATAGTTCACAACGATAGATGCATTCACCCTTCCTCTCAATCTCGATTTCCAGCATTTTTGTACGTATCTTTTCACTCCGCCTTTTCGAAGTTTTGGTCCTTTCTATCATTGTTAGAATATCATTTCAACCTCTTTTGCTATTAATCTTGTTACTTTTATATCGTGCGGCCATCGTAGTATAACAAAGTGAGCCAAGATTTGTCTATGACTCACTAGCACTAATGATCATTACTTCATTTATTGCGTACATTTATCCTAAAGATTATAGAACTTTGGCGTTTGTACCAAGGTAATTGATCTGCTTATTATGTCATTCTACGGTACACCCGTATAATCTGTAATTACTGTAACTATTATTGTGATAAATTTTACTCACTATATGTATTAGTTCCAATCTTTTGAGTAAAGCATGAAATAAATGACTGAATCATCTTAGGGTACTGTCCGTAAAGATTATAAACATTTTTAATTATTTATCTTTTGACAGGGTGGAGTTTCAAAATAAATTCTACAGCGGCGATGGTTATCCTTTCGTTCCATTTTCCTTCGATCATTCTAACAGTGTAGTAGATAATTAGAAAGAGATCTTATTGTTTTACTACGCTGTCTATGTTCTTTAAATTTATCCGCCTAAATGTTGTGATATGTCTTTTAAAATCCAATAATTATTTCATCTACAGGAAACTTTTAATAATTATATGCTTGTTATTTATTTATTTAACTTTCAAATCATCATCTGCTTAACTGATTTTCTATCCTTGATTACTCTCCATTGATCGAATTTATTTATTGTTGTTAGATATAATAATAAATCTATTTAAATTTACTTGTATTTCTTTTAGGATCTTACTTCGTCATTAAGGCTCTTTTTTGTCTGAACAATGTATGATTCATCACAAAGTAATAGGTTTGACGGAATTCCGGCTGGCTAGCTCCATGAACGTATGTTACTGTGTATATTAATAACGTCGGTTGTTGATTTCAGTTATTACTGGACCGAAACTATTGAGTCAGCCCGTCAGGGATGTCCACTTTCTCCATTCTTGTTTAATTTTATCACAGACATGCTCCTAGAAATAACCTTATCCTCGTCTGAATTTTCAGGAGTAGACCTTTTAGCAGGAGGCTTGCTTATCGATGCCGATGATTTAGTCCTACTTGGTGAAGATGCTGATAAAATTCAGAGTCTTCTGACTACCCTAAGCAACAGTGACAGGCATGTTCGGGATGCGGTTTTCCCCCTCGAAATGCAAAATGTTGCTTGAAGATTGGGTTTCATCGGCACCTGAACTAGTGATAGGGAGTGAAGTAGTCGAGCGTGTAGATCACTTCACTTATCTGGGGAGTCTCATCAGCGCTGATGGCCTGGTGACTGACGAAATCTCAGCTCGGATACAGAAAGCTCGACTGGCGTTTGCCAACCTGCGTCACCTATGGCGCAGGCGAGATATCCGCTTGTTAACCAAACAACGGGTGTACTGCGCAGCAGTTCGCTCCGTCCTACTGTACGGATGCGAGACTTGGCCGTTAAGAGTAGAGGACTTCCGTAGGTTATTAGTCCTCGATCATCGATGTTTCCGAAGCATTGCTCGTGTATCATGGGACAACCATATAAGCAATGCTGTGGTTAGGAAACGAGTTCTAGGTAAGGATTGCAAATTACTGGATGAAGCATTGAAACTTCATCAGTTGAGGTGGTTGGGACATGTGTTACGTATGCCCAAACACCGACTGACTCGACGAGCTATGTTTTGTGGTGTAGGTGTAGATTGGAAGAAAGCTAGGGGCGGCCAGACCAAAACATGGCACAAATTCATGAAGTCACTGACAAGTGGACTGAGTGGTGTTGGTAGATGTAGGCTACCTTGTTGGGGTCCGCCAGACCAAATTTAGAGACCTTGAACGACATGGCTCAAAATCGTTTGCAATGGCGCCAGTGCATCCACTCTTTGTGTGCTTTTTTATTCTAACCTGCATTCCTCATCATCTCTACCTTTCTCCTTCTAAATTCATCTTACTGAATTATACTTTTCGAATCATATCTATGCTCCCTAATCTTCTCCATTGCTGCTAATACTTTTACTATCGTTATTACTCTTGGATTTGAACGGACAGTTGTGTCTCTGTGCTGACGTGGTATGGCAACCTGAACTGATGTAGTTATGTACGAAGTTCTGCATTGTATCTGTCTGTCTCATATCTTGATCATATCTCATTTTGTGCATATAACAACAACTTTTGTTCTTTCTGAGATACTTTCCTGGATTTTCGCGGGCGTAAATCCTAAGTCAAGACGACTTAGGATCACGATAGACAGACGCTTATGCGCTGTCCGACTAAACGGGACGATACGGACTCGGAATGATAGGGACACTAGCCGTTGCTTCTTCGTCGTATCTGCATACGCTCCCACTGACTGCAGTTCAAACGACATAAGTTTTATAGAAACCTCTCTAAAATGTTAAGCGCTCTGATATAGTAATGTTGACTTTAATGCTCAAGTAGGTAGATTCAGCGCAAAGGAAAGACACCGGTGAATCCTATGGTGTCCTGGGTCAGAGATTAGATAATGGCGACCGTCTACTGCAGCTGTGCCCAAATAACTTTCTATTCCTAGCCATAACTAACCTTAAGCATGAGGTAAAACACCTTTTCAACTGGCGACCCCCGGAGCCGACCTAACGATGGACTGAACTGGGTCACATCGCTATAAACCATCAGTGGAGAGGCTCTGTTGAAGACGGCTGCTGATACTGGGACACATGTTTACGTACAGACCATGTTCTAGTGCGAGCGTGCATTTGTTTGCGTCTTACTGGACGCCCTAACCTCTTAGGGCACTACTTAATGATAGCAGAGCTATGGATATATTTCAGGAACAACTAGAAAAACAGTTAGGCAGCGATGTAGTAAGTGATGTCCACCCTGAGGCAGCTCGGAATGATATACCTCTGCTACTATGGGATTTGAGTTGACAATTATTTCTCTGTGCTAACGTGGTATGGCAACTTGAAGTGCTGTACTTACGTACAAAGTTCTCTGTAGCTGTTGATGATGACCCATGAGAGGCAGGAATGCATAACTCCTGACTTTGAATTTCATTCGTCTAACCCATGGATGACCAGGATGTAGTACCGAAACCCATCTCTGAATACGAAACGCAGAATGGGCTGGAATGCCAGATTTAGAACCGAATATTGCTAGCGGAGGTTTGTGGTCTGTGATAAGCGTGAATCTCCGACCGTACATTAACTCCTGGAAACGATGAACAGCAAACCCGAACTCAAGAGTCTCTTTCTCTATCTGGCTGTAATTCTTTTTTGCTTGGGTTAGTGTACGGGACGAGTCTAAAAACTTACGTGAATAACGGCACCTAGGCCATATGCTGAAGCTCCGGCTGCTGCGATGATTGGCATGGATGGATCGTAGTGTGTTAATTACAATTACGAGCTAATTATGGACTTAAGTTTACAAAACGCCGCGTCACACTCTTTAGTCCAATTCCAAGTGCTGTTCTGGACTAGACAATTCAATGGAGCGTGAATATCGTTTATAGAAGGAACAAACGCTGAATAATAACTAACAAGACCCATAAAGGAGCCTAGTTCTGAGACATTAGTGGGAGTGGGCATCAGTTTGATAGCTCGGATATTCTCAGGATCCGGTCTGCGGCCGTCGATATCAAAGATGAATTCCAACTACTCTACCGACTGCAATAGAAACTGGCATTTTTCTGGGCATAACCGGAAACTTTTGTCACTGATGCGTTGTAGTACCGATGTCGCGCGTTTCCGTAGCTGTTCTAGTCTTTGCAACAATTAAAATATCATCGAGATTAGCTGTGACCTCTCAGATATCTGATAGGATAGTATCCATTAGTTATTGGAAGATAGATGTGGCAGTCTTAACTCCAAAAGGTAGACGGTTATACTGGAACAAACCACGATGAGTATTGATAGTAACCGCCTTTTTTATGCTTCATCTACTTCTCTCTGCAAATAAGCATCAGCTAGATCCAGCTCAGCATAGTAAACAGATCTGCGGGAACTGGTAGAGGACAATGATGCTGTTCTAGTGCTACATCGAGACCTGTAGGAAGTTCGGCACATATACGCATTGTGTCGTTGGCCTTCTTGATCACAACTATTGTTGCTGCTCAAGCAGATTGGGTAGCGGGCGTAATAACTCCTTATCGTTGAAGGCGATTCAATTCTTTATCTACTGTTGCTAATGCACTTGTCTCTTTGAACGGAAAGCAGGCTTAGCTCAAGAATTCTACTGAAGTGTTGCTTTCATGGCAGAACATCGACCTAGTTCAGGTTGGAAAATGGTTAAAACTGCGTCATTAGCTTCCTCTTATATGCTTCAGGGTCATATGGTTGTGATATACCAGGCTGCATATGGTATTTAATGGGACATCAGCCAATTTTAGCTGGTCGAACCGATCCAAACAAACCAATTTTAGATCAGCCGGCGTTATGTAACATAGCCCAGAAAACATCGACTCAAGGAAAGTGACTTTACATTCCAATTGTCCTAACAGGCAAAGGTAACTTCCACATACTGTACGAGGCTTTTGTGTTGTCTGCTGCATGCTCGGGGTACCCATTTCTGTCTAAATTTATGTGGGAGGATGGTGAAATCCGATGCGGTATCTATTTGCAATCTAAACAAATGTCCATTATTATTAAGAGTAATAAGTTTCCTCTCACCTGGTGATGAGCTTTGGCAGGAAGATATTAGGCTCAATGCATTGTTACTGGATCTAGGAACAGGCTTCTCAGCACTTCTGGATCGGTTCGGCCTTCTCTTTATGCAAAAACCATCTTTATGACCGATGACCTTACACTTCCTCGATGTTGCATAAGTGAGCAGTTTCGTACATAGTGCCGTGAACCACAGCCCCAGCAATGATCCGGGGGATTCGTTTTCATCTTTCGGACTGAGCAGGAGTGGGATGAACTGGGTGTAGCATGTGTACATTTATTCCGGTTAGGTGTCTGCTTTACTAAATGAATGTCATATCGACTAGACACACCGCTCTACGCCATAGTCATGTCCTAATGAGACGTTGGTACTCATTAGCCATGTCACTAAGAGTGAGCTTCGGATCTTGCTCTAATCGACATGGTAGCCTTGTTCTTATATCAGTGAACTTTTGAGACTGGAGGCTGTAAATGTGTATGAGGGCTTTAAACTGGTCTTCAGACAAAGACTTCAACCGAAGGCGTTCGCATTCACGGTTGACGATGCCCACGTGCGTAAGAAAATCGGCTTCGTTCATAATTAGCTTCAAAAATCGATAGCGCGGTTTAAACATTAACGAGTTGTCGCCAAAGTGTTGGCTCAATGTCTGAACTGTCTCAGAAAATGAACGATCTCGTGGGCTCAAAGGCAGGATCAAATTGTAGTACTTGTGTTGCTCACTTGCACCCAAATTTCGAGGTAGTAGCCGAACCTTCCAAGCGCCATCTTGACTGGCGAATTCAATTTCAAATAGATCTTCATAAAGCCGAGACCACATGTCAAAAGTAACATTAGCATCAGTATCATAATGAAATTCAGTAACGCTATTTGCGATGCCACCTACTAATAATGCTGTGGTTGCATTAGATGAGCTAGGCTGTGTGGAAGGGAAAATCTTGATATCTGTAAACACCTGCGTTAGTTTCAGCTGCTACTCAAGTAATAGTTCAAGGTTGACAGGATCCATGTTTCCAAAACGACCGTGTCAAGTTGATATGTTTGATACTGTTATGAGTTCACCTTACTCAGTAAACGAGAGCGAAACAATGGTACAGGCCTTGCTAACTACACCAACAAGTCTTGATAAGGCGTACAGAATGTGTTCCACAAGCACCCAGAAAATACCAGGTTAACAAAGCACACAAATCGAGCTTATTTATGCATGAAAGAAAAGTTCTTATGCTAGCCGCTAAAATAACGTGCTAAAATAATCCATAAACTAATGACAGTCAAGGATTTTCCCGGTGGGAAATGTAATCTGAAGATCAACTAAGCAGCTTATGCGTGAAAACATAAGAAATCTAAGATTAGGAACTTTTACCACTAGTAAGTAATTGTTCCTTTCGAGTGCTTAATCGAGGTAGAATATGGGCAAACTTGTTACCACAATATATCTGGACAGTTCAAATGACGAACAATATGTGTCCAAAGGCGCTTAACAAAGAAAAACTTCAGTAAAAATTAAGCTAACCAACGAATTTGTTTCAAATCCGAAGGGCTTATTCTATTATACAACCTCTATTCAGCAAGTCATACTCACGGTCCCATAGTTATTACGTCCTCATGGTCCGGCCAACAACGACAGAGAAGCTGAAAAAAATTCTAGGGGAACAGTATCTTCAAACATTTTGACCGTCACGTACGACCTACAGGACTGAGATTTTTATCTGAATCTAAGAGGAACATTAGAAGTAAATATAAGCTCCAGTCTTTTTTCCAGAAAAGGCATAATCTAAATGCGGATATTTCTCTTGGTCTGGACACTGTTCACCCCGGCTTACAGAAGGAAGTGATTTCTATCCTGGTAACACTGTAGAATGTACTGTTGTCACATTTTTCCAAGTGAGGACTCGCCCGAAACAACTGGAGACTTTTGAGCATCATAATAATTTTTAAATGATTTAGTTGCAGTGAATCTTCATCCTACACTCCAGTAGAACTCCCTTCAGAAATTATGGAGTCTTTGGTATACGATGGTCAGTACAAAGATTTACTATCCATAAACTTCTTTCCCCTACCCCAGCAACTCAGATGCAAGAAGTGGCCTCCTGACCTCCTGACTGTGATAGACAACTCTACAACCATCTTTGATCGCAAAGGAAAGGTTGATCTGATATATATTGACTTCTCGAAATCTTTTGATTGGGTCAATCATATATATCATCAATAGGCTCACGCTGTTAGGCAGCTAGCCACTGTGAATAGGCTGGTTAATTAAATGTCAAAATAATCGAAAATCTGGGGTCACCGTCAGCTTAACTGTCTCTTGCTTGTTGGACAGGCTTGGATAGAAAAAGCTGTCCCAAAAAGCTTTCATCAAACGTTTGCTGACCAATGACCCCTCTCACATGAAGCAACATTCCCTTTGTTTAGCGGCTTAACAGTTTGATGTTGTGGAAGAGCTGGTGTAACTTATGTTAATGTCCCCAAGCCGCCGCCTTTATGTATTTCTATTCTCGGGTCGATATGGGATTTGGACTCTTCTGTAGTAAACTAGGAGTAACGTACTTATTAAACATGCTCGGTGATTCCTTCACTATGGCATGATTTCAAGCCATCTTTTTAAAGCCATAATCAACTTTACTTTTTCGCAGGCTATAGAATATCATATGAAGTTACTGAGGTTTCGGTACAAAAGCTATTTTTCTCCTTAACTCAAATAAATAGCGTTCATAAACAGTATAATCTGAGTTGTTACTTTTTGCTAATGATGTTAAACTTCGGAGGGAAGTTTGCAGCCGAGTTGATAAGCTGACTCTTCAGGAGACTTTGACTTTCCATTAAACTTGGGCGAATAACATTGAAGTTACATTCACCACTTCGGAGCTCAAAGTAGTCTGTTAGAGATATGCTAAAGACTCTGTTCACAACTTAGGCAACTCATCTCTAGAGGAGTCCCAAGTTGAAAAAGATTGAGACGTTTTGGTAAACTATGATCTTAAGTCTTAGTCCTACTACAAATATAATGACTTCCGAACAAACCTTGCAGTAGTAACTTTAAGGCGCATTTTTTTCAGTTTGGAGGTAGAACGTTCCACCTTCTCATCAACCTCTTTTTGGTTTCATTTAGAGTGTGTGAATGGAAACAAGCTACTCTATCTCAATCTTCAAACGAGGAGATAGGAAGGACACAACCTGTTACAGACCAGTCACATTACTACCAATACTATCGGAGGTTATGGAAGGGCCGATGGACAAGAACGAAATCCCCATGAAGCTCAACACGGGTTCCGGAAGGGCAGGTCGTGTGCATCCAATCTTCTCATAGCTGGGATAGTCGTACATCATGCTGGGACCGAAAAATACCGGTGCGCATAATATTTCTTGACTTTGCAAAGCATTTGATACAGTACCCTTAACACTCCTAATTGCGAAGGTTGAGGAAATGGGTTTCACTGACCCACTCATATCTTGGCTTAGAAACTACCTCTAGAATAGAAGGTTTCATCCAAAGGTAAATAAGGTGCACACAAGTTGACGATTCTCAACATCGCCAGTTTCACTGGGGACTATAAACACGTACTCACATACGGATTATCATCTCCCTCTTGGACAAGCTGATGCATGTCTTGAGACCTGTTAGTTTTTACTGTTGTCATCTACTCAGATCAATGGCTTTATCTGTCTCGCTTATTATCCACCTTTCCTCCCCCTTGCTTACACTTCGGTCCTCTCTCACAATCTTCACAACCAATTAATAAACTAAATTATCTATACATTACTTAGTTCCGAAATCCTCTTATTAGCATTAGGAGTTTCTCCATATTATTCTCCACTTTAAAACTAACTAATCACCGGCCTGGTAATGTGATAGATGCTAGTATCCACAAACCATACTGTCCTGAAACAAACGTTTTCATTCAAATCACGGGACATTCAAACTCACAACCAACTGACTAGATTAGTCAGTCAAGTAGCTAGATCCTATTCTTTGGACACTACAGAATACTTGGAACCGAACCGGAAGAACAAGAATCGAGTGCAAAGAAATCAATTGTTTTATACCAGCTGGTGAAAATGATATTGGATATTGTAATTCTAACAGCGAATTTATGAATCTTCCGGTCACGCTTGCAAGGTGATTCGACAATGGGTAAACTGCACAAGTTGGATAACAGGATACAAATAATGCTTAAAAATGGCATTCTTCGGAAGCACAGGTCGTTGTTTGTTATGGTTGGGAATAAAGGTCAGGACCAGGTACACGAAGCTACAGTTAGGAAATAAACATAACCTTTGGATTGTAGGTTCCTATAATGCATCAAATTTTAAATTCTCTCTCAAGTAAAGGAAGGCTCAGCATATTGTGGTGCTACAAAAAGGAGTTGAGTTTTAGCACGTAAGCTTCACTTTTACATATCATGTCCCTAGTCACCGTAAGAAGAATCTCAAACTTTTAAAGTATGTTGTTCACGTACGTATCTTAATTTGCTTAGCAAAAGGCGAAAAGCAGGGTTGACATCTGATGCTACAATTTTCGAGCAATTTGTATGTTCGACAGATATACGTTGGTGTTATTACGATGAGTCGCATAAAATTCTTGGACAAACGTTCGACATGTGTGTACTTCAAGATTTCGAAGCCCTAACACCAAATTTACTTGCTCGGACTATTGAAACAGTATCCGGTGGAGGTCTCATAGTTCTGTTATTGAAATCTATGACCTCCTTACAACAACTGTGTACTATGGTTATGGTATAGTTTCCTTCCTCTTAACAGAGTTTTTCAGGATGTTCATTCTCGATATCGCACTGAATCACAACACACTGTCGTCGGTCGATTTAATGAAAGGTTTTTATTGTCATTGGCTAGTAATCCTCGGTGTCTTGTATTAGACGATCGATGGAATGTCCTACCATTGTCACGAAAAGTCCTCAATTCACTGACACCGTTGCCGGCTGATGCAAACGAGGAATTTAATATGGAACAAAAAGAGCTACAAAAACTTAAAGTAATGTCATTAAATTTTGAAACGTTGTTTTTTTGTGAGCAGATTATGAATTTTAAAGTTTTTCTACTTTGTTTTTGAAATCTATGCGGTCAACCAGTTACTTCATTTTGTGATAAATCTATTTTTCATTATTTTAATGAGTTATGACCTACAACAACACAGTGTCCGTTTCAGGTAACACGTTCTCTTACATCCAGTTAAGGATGTGTCTATTGCTTAGTATTTATTGATTTCGTAGTATAGTAGGACCATAGCAATGGCTTATTTGGCACTCATTTATAGTTCTTTAACATTGCCATTCGCATCTTTTTCATATGAACACTACTTTACTGAGTCTATAGTGTCCTAAGTATATATATATATATATATTGTGAATGGCGAATTATCCAAGTCCTCTGGTTTCGGCCGTATCACATCTCATTCACAAACTCAATAATTGTTGTGGCGCACAAATATTTAGATACCGGTTTCTACCAATAACTTTGTTTGAATAAAATAAATGTTATACTAATATATATATATATATATATATATATATAATATATATATATAAGGAAGGGTCAAACTTCAGGTATATTGTTCAAATCGACAGTGGGGAATTACACAGAAGGATACTAGGATTCAAAATCTGGAATAAAATTGAGTTAATGTATCTGTATCATTGCAAAGTCTCCAAACGTTAATCGAGATTATCACATACATTCCAGTGAAGCAATTATCTGGTAGTAGATTTATTGCTCTATACCTGAAGGATAAATGTTTCGTAAAAATTTTGATTACTAACTGTTAATACATACCGTCCTGATTACAGCAAGCGCTATTTCAATCTCGAGATTTCTGATAAAATAGTTGTCGATTGGGTATGTGCAGTTATACTTTTGACCGACTGATAATCGTCCATGTGACTGCCCGTTTTCTTTATTCGAATTCCTTGACCGAACGACAATTACAACTAGAGGAATCATGATCTGTTGTACCTGATAGGGAGTGAAGTAGACGAACGTGTAGACCGCTTCACTTATCTTAGGAGTCTCATCAGTGCTAACGGCCTGATGACTGACGAAATATCAGCATGGATACAGAAAGCTCTATTGGCTTTTGCCAACTTGCATCACCTATGGCGCAGGTGAGATATCCCTTATGCTAACCAAGGGACGAATGTGCTGCGCAGCAGTTAGCTCCGTTCTACTGTACGGATGCGAAACGTGGCCGGTAAAAGTTAAGGATATTCGTAGGTTTTTAGTATTCGATTGTAGATGCCTCCGAAGCATTGCTCGTATATCCAAGGACAACCGAGTAAGCAATGCTGTTGTTGGGAAACGAGTACTAGGTAGGGATGGCAAATCAATAGATGAAGTATTGAAACTTCATCAGTTGAGGTGGTTGGGACATGTGTTACGCATGCCTAACCACCGACTGCCTCGACTTGTTTTGTGGTGTGGGAGTAGGTTGGAAGAAAGCTAGGGGCGGCCAGACCAAAACATGCCAAAAGTCCATGAAGTCACTGACAAGTGGACTGAGTGGTGTTGGAAGATGTAGGCTATCTGGTTGGGGTCCGTAAGACGAAAGTCATCGATGGTTAGAGACCTTGAACGACATGGCTCAAAATCGTTTGCAATGGCGCAGGTGCATCCACTCTTAGTGTTCTCTCAAATTCTAACCTCCTGAATTGTTCATCATCTCTATCTTTCTCTTTCTAAATTTATCTCATTGAGTCATAATTCTTCAATCATATCTTCTCCATTACTGCTAATACTTCTACTATCGCTATCACTCTTGGATTTGAACTGACAATGGCGTCTCTGTCCTGATGCGGTATGGCAACATGAACTGATGTACGTACGTACGTACGAAGTTCTGCGTTGTATCTGTCTGTCTGTCTGATCTATTTTACCAGAGAACTGAAAAACAAGATGTAAACAGGCAATTTGCAATTATGTATCGTTAGTCCCTGTCCAATGGCATCTCGAAATTGTGGGGTTTGAGAACTTGAAATCGCCTGTTTACTCTGTATTTTAGCATCAGTATGTTCAGGCAGTTGGTGTAGTCGAATTATATTCCAAATGTGCTTGGTTATGATTTTAGATTTATTATTAACTTTTCGACTATAAACAACTATGTTGATTCGTTTAGTCTATACTTTTTATGTCCTTCAGTTTTCGTAGGTCCTCTGATTCATTTCAAATGATTCTAAGTGAAAAGTTTAAGTAAACATTTACTGTCTGGTTTGCAACCGTTTCGAGTTCTACGTTGTTTGTTTATTTAGTATAGTCAACCTCCAGATTTCAGAATGTTCAATATAAATGCATCATTTTTAAGAGTATTTTTCGTGTATCCTGTCATTTATTTCTAGGTGTCCTTAGCTGAAGATGGCTCACAATTTGCTCCCTTAATTAAGTTGTGTATCACATTTGACCAGGCTAAGAGTCTTGTCCAATTTTGTGCTACTTTGGCTTCAGCTTCACAGTTGCAAAATAAGGGTTGCGATAAAAACCCTCAAAATGTTACATCTCTGGCTACAGCAAACTCTCTTCTTTCATCCATCGGAGCTGGACCCAAGGAAACCGGTTGCTCATCAGCCTTTGTTATTGTAACCTCCGGCAGAGGCCGAGGTAAGTCTGCAGCACTAGGACTTGGATTAGCTGCTGCTTTTGAAACTGGTATGCCTAACTTGTACGTTACTGCACCCAGTCCGGAGAACCTAAATACACTTATGCAGTTTGTTGTAAACGGCTTAAACGCTTTTCAATATGAAGAACACCAAGATTATATCGTCAGTCGCTCAGTGAATCCCGAATATAATCAAGCTATAATTAGAATCGATGTTTACAGACAGAGTCACAGACAATCCCTCATCTATCTACCCCCATGGGAGATGGCTGCCCTGTCGAGTGTCAAACAAGCAGATCTAGTATGTATCGACGAGGCTGCTGCCATTCCATTACCTCTTATACAATCCATTATTAATGGTCCGAGATTTGTATTTATGGCGTCCACCATTAATGGTTACGAAGGTACTGGTCGATCTCTATCTTTCAAACTAATGCGTCAACTGCGATCTCAATGTAGTGTGTCAGTAACTTCTACAAAGTTGTCAACCGACAATGCGAAGTCTCAGTCCCTCCAATCGACGGAGAAAAACCAAATGTTATTGGGAAAAGGTTTTCGATTAGGTAAAAATTTTTAAGTATTGTTGTTGTAATTCAACTTTGGCTATGGCTATGTTAATTTTACCCATGAAAATCCTTAACAACTGTGATGAGACTGAAATAGAATTCAACTCTTTATATTAATTATTACGACGCAAAGTTAATATCCCATTAGTTTGTATTGCTAGTCTGTGACGAAGTAAATGCGGTAGCAACTGTGAGGGTTAATGATAATCAGACAAAAAGCGAAGGGGTTAGTTTAGATTTGAGAATTCGTAATACTTTTAGCTGTGCAGGTAATGAAATAATGTGCTACAATGTGATCAGTCTCTAATTTCAGTCAGTTTGTTTGTAAAGCCACAATAAATATAAGTTTTAAGATATATTATCCTTCTATTTATTGTGTTACGTTGGTTCAAAAAATTACTTAGACGTTCCAAGTATACTAAAAATCCAGTAAAAATAGCCATTCTGTAAACCAAGGTCAAATATCACATTTCAAAAATATCAACCAAGAAACCTCACTCAAAAGACTAGAGGTTCTGTTTGTCACACTGTACTTCAACTCAACTAAAAATAATTTTAAGTGTTATTGTCACATATTGATCTAAGTATGATTTAGTTGGGATTGCATGCTTAATGCTGCTGTGAATTGGGATTGGATTTGATATTTTATGATCATGAAAGATTAGAAAATTCTGACCCACAACTGTATCTATACGAACTAAATAGACGATAATCTGCATCGCAATGGATTTTAGGGAAGTCTTGTAGGTAGCTACAGTCAGTTACTATATCCTAATATTTTTCAAGAAATCCCAAGCGATAGCTTCCGGCCATCAACTCTTCGTTTAACCGATCTCTGTCTTTATTCCCATGATGATGATGTGTTCGTTTATTCTAGTTAGTCTTTACTATCATCAAGTCTGTCAGCAGATAAAATTTACAAGCTGAAATCTTAAGTAAATGATTTGTTAGCAAGTGACAGAAATTTCGCACTAGGTGAATGAACAATAATTCCTAACGTACGGATTATCTGATATGTTTTCCACTAATTTTTAAGTCAATATTTAGTCTGTTTTTAATCCACATCATAATTTCCAAACCGTAATACTATTTACTTTTACAGTCGATACTTCGCGAGTACTATGTGAAGTTTCTCTCACTGAAGCTATTCGTTATGCTTGTGGTGATCCAATCGAAGCTTGGCTATTCGACCTATTGTGTTTGGACTGTGGTGATTCTCTGTCTTGTGACCAGCAAGCTAATAATGTGAATATTTACCTACCTCCTGTTGATCAATGTCAGTTGTACTACGTTAACAGAGATACTTTGTTTGCGTATCATAAGTCAACGGAAATATTTTTACACAGACTCATGGCTCTTTATGTTTCATCGCATTACAAAAATTCTCCAAATGATTTACAACTACTTTCAGATGCGCCTGCTCACCATATATTTTGTCTTCTCGCTCCCTATGATCCTAAATCTGGGTGTGTACCAGAGATTCTTTGTGTACTTCAAGTTTCTCTTGAGGGAAAAATAAACAAGGATCGAGTAATGCATAACCTTTCTCGTGGTTTACGTCCTTCTGGTGATTTGATTCCTTGGACTTTATCTCAACAGGTATTCTTCCATGAAGTTTAAGATTATGTTTCCAATTTTCCCAAAATGTGTTGAGTATGATGTGTAAAGTATAATAGTTTCAGTAGCTCCACTGTTTGATCTACTTGTGCTTATGAAAACGGAATGTGTTGCACAAAAGTTTGTTTATTTGTTGTCATTGTAACATGGATTTAGAAAACAAAAGAAAGTAGTTTTTTACAGTAAGTTGTTTGGGCTAAACTGAAAAAGTCAAACTATGTGTCTGCCTCATTTCCCTTCTATGTTTGTTTCTTGATTAGAGGAAAGTTTTCAAAATCGGTCACACATTAGTTAAAGGTTAACATAGCAATCAAAGAATTCGAGTAGTTGTGGGTTCAAATTAATTATTCTGACTCCCTGTTGTTGATCAGAGCTTGGAATACCAGACTATATTTCAGTTAATATTGCAGTGAATTGATATGTAACTTAAGTTGCGTGTGATTTCTGTGATTTTATGCTAGAAGGATAAATAAGTCACTGTGTTCCACAAATTTTCCTATCTGCATCGGTGAATAGACATTCGAATGAGTTATTCCGTTAATTACGTAGGTTACATTCGATTTCTCTTTGTTCTTTTATAGACTAGGATCAGTGTTCCCTATTCTTTGCAGCTTTAGCTATTATAAGGATTTCAGGCATAGTTGTAGTTTTCTTTAGAATATAATTGAAATTTGTTAATTACAATGAATTGGAAGTTCAATTATATTTATTATTTCATACGACGTATGTCCGTTTCAATTAATCACCATAATTGATTGGTCCTTTTTTATAGTTTTGTGATGCCAGCTTTGGTGAATTATCTGGTGTTCGTGTTGTACGAATTGCTACTCATCCTGATTATCAAGGTCTTGGTTACGGAACTAGAGCTTTAAAACTACTTTATGACTATTACAACGAACAAACGGTAAGTGCTTTCATTTTATGAATGGAGAAGTTTGCGCTTCATTAATGTCTAACCACAATTTGTTTACTTTCCCCTTTTAGGACATTAAAATTTTGCCAGAAAGTCAGCATACTGACATTCAAACTGAAAAGGTTGACAACAGTGGTTCTACCGAAGAGACTAAGAGCTATAATCAAACATTCAATAAATCTTCAAAATCAAAACCTCCAACCCTGAGTTTTAACTGTGAATTAGATAAAGGAAACAATCAGGATGATTCGGATGCCAGTTTAGATTCAGATAATACAAAGTTATCTGAAAATAATTCAAAGCTTCTCACAGAAGTGATAAAACGGCGTGAGCCTGCCAGTCTGCCCCCTCTGCTAAGTCGTCTTAACGAACGTCCTTCTGAAAAACTTGATTACATTGGTGTTTCTTTCGGTGCTACTCCTAGTTTACTGAGGTTTTGGAAACGATCAGGTTACGTACCTGTGTATCTTCGTCAAAACATGGTAAGGGTGTTCTCGTGACTAATTCGCGTTCACTTTTTCGGTTATGTATTTTGCGAATGCTACTGTCTTAACTTTTGTACAATTTAATTATACGGTGATACGGAATGAAAACTTTGAGAAATGCTATTCTTATGGATGTGTTATATATAAACTGATTCTTGTGGTAGATGTAATAGATTTTCGTGTGATAACTTTTACTTTAAAGGGGTACTTAAATGTTGACTAGTTAAAAATAAAAATAACTTACACTTTTGAGCATTCGTTAACATTTTCATCTTTCATAGGGACAACAAGGCAGGTCGATTGGAGAGCGGTAAGACTAAAAGCAGCAACTTAAGATCTAAGGGCGACGTCGTACTGCTAACTGTAGAGGGGTGTGAAAGCAGTAAGGTGTTTCCCTCGGACAACCAGCATCTTGCAGCAATGCTGTCTTCACACAAGAAAGGAATGGGTTAGAAAAGATCGACCCTAAAATTGTCACCTTACCTTACCTCACGGATTTCCGTCTCCGGCGGTCAAGCCATTTAAAGAGCGGAGTTAACATTTCAGATTATTCCATTAAAAAGGCCGTGTGTGACCGGCCTCAAGCAGTTGTCTCTTTGGCTCTGCGGTCACGCTCCCAGGTCTCTAAGACCAAAGCTTATCCAACTTCCTTTTTGGGTTCCTCAAAAAACATCCATCCACGTTGTGGTCAGCCGGAAGTAATATCCGCCCTCATACCCATAACAGCACATGAATCCAAACTAGCCACCTGTGTATAACGTATGACATCTATCACATAAATATTTTCTGTAATAAATTCGACCTTTGTGTCTATATACACGATTTGGAATATTGTTTCAAAATTGTTCTTTTGCTTATGAAATTATGTTTACCTACCTATGACATCTATCACATAAATATTTTCTGTAATAAATTCGACCTTTGTGTCTATATACACGATTTGGAATATTGTTTCAAAATTGTTCTTTTGCTTATGAAATTATGTTTACCTATAGAGAACCAATTGTATGGAGTACCCATAGGTATCTGAAAGTTATTTTTTAAGCCAACTTTCAAAATTGAAATTTTTTTGGTGTATATAACTAATAATAAATCTCAAAATGTGTTTGAGAACGTTGCTATTTAATGAATACGCTTTACATCAATGCAGACGACTCGTACAGTACATGGGCCACTATGATTAATCTGAAGTTAATGATTGTAACCATGAATAGTAAACAGTATTCACGTTTACCAAACTAATGTTCTGGTACATATGCATAAAAAATTCGATTATAGTTTGTGTTATTATGTTTTGCTTATCAGATAGATTAATTCCTTGTGATTGCATAGTTGTCTTCGATTTCGGCCTATTTATCCTCAGTATTTCAGTTATGTTTGTTAATTAGTAACAGACGCATCCACTAATGGTTGCCTATTTTCATACTTCTGTTATTGTCTTTTAAATATCGATGGCTTGTTGAACGTTCCTACTATTGATAATATTTGCATTTGTCTTGAAGACGTGTAGAATTTATTAAATTGACACTACCGCCTACTTTTACTAAAGTGGTGTTAGTTAATTTATGTGACATACGATCATAAATTTATCTATGAATATTCTCAGTTTGAATGCAACATTCTAAAATTGTTTGACGTTTTTTTGTAATTTGAAGAATGAGTTGACCGGGGAATTCACGTGCATAATGGTGAAACCGCTGAAGCACCAAAGTGTCTCATCACGATCGGCCGAATGGCTTCGGAATTACTTTTATGGTTAGTTATCGGTCGTAATTATTTATTTATTATTGTTAGTTGTTTCAGTTTCCATCGTCGTACTGTTTTTAAAAAAATCAGAATCCTTTTTTTTACCCAGGTTGCGAATAAAGTAAAAGATTAGAGATTCCTCCTTTAAAGTAATTATGTTCGTAATCGATTCTATTATTACTCCATTTATTTCACATGAGAATTTATTTTGGATTTTGTAAACCAGATATCCTATAGCCAGTTGATCATTACTGCTGCTTTCATTAACTTTCACTTCTCTCCGTGCTAGTTACTCTGTTGTACTTATTACAGTTGTAATAATTGAGACTTGTCCGTTTTTGGAGGATAGTTTCCAAATTTTTTAATGAATGATTAACTGTATTCGAAATGTAAAATACCATTCCACTGAACTGTATAGGTTTTCCTAATAATAAAGTAGTCTGTTCGATCTCATTCGCTTATTTCTTTATCTTTGATTGATTATCAGAGTATTTACTTTTCATTAGTTTATCTCATCAGTAACGTTGTTTACGGTGTTACAGCAACCATACTTTGAAGATGACTTTTCTCTGTTCAACTTCAATTTCTGCATATGTTTCCTTTGATTTTATTTTTGGAATGTATATCAAACTTCAAGCATTAAAATTAAGCAAAAACATTTTGCATTATTCACCACAAAATGATATCTTACTGTTGGCTGAAGGTTCATGTTGACTGTAATTTTTGTGTTTACCGTATGCTTAGTGTTCAGCTGACCTTGGTTTGTATTCTACTCTTCATAAACATTGTTAACGTACTTGATAATTGTTATTTTATCTTTTATACAGATTTTACCAAACGCTTAATACATCTCTTGCCTGGACCATTTAGACACATGGATGGAACTTATGGTCTTGAACTCCTTAGTCATAAATCAATGGAAACTGAAATATCTAATGGTAATTAATTGAGATTATTGAATTTTCCAACCTTAAAATTCTAACTGCTTACAACTAATCCATATATATTCATCTGATATTGTTTGTTTTTGTGATTCGGGAATTCGCATATTTATTCCGGGTTACAGTTACAGTTTTCATAAACGAAAACAAGCTTAATACCTCCATACTTGCTGAATTATGTAAGCGTGATCCTAATTATTAAGGTATAGTAACTAACCTTTGAAGTATGGTGCAATTTTTTGCACATTAATCTATCTAAAACAACAGCCTGTCGCTGTTCGACCAATAATGCAGACAGACAGACAGATACAACGCAGAACTTCGTATGTAAGTACATCTGTTCAGGTTGCCATGCCCCATCAGCACAGAGACACAACTGTCAGTTCAAATCCAAGAGTGATAGCAATAATGGAAGTATTAGCAGTAATGGAGAAGATTAGGGAGCGAAGATATGATTCTAGAAGTATAATTCAGTAAGATAAATTTAGAAGGAGAAAGGTAGATATTACGAGGGATGCAGAAGCTTAGAATTTCATAGAACACAAAGAGTGGATGCACCTGCGCCATTGCAAACGATTCTGAGCCATGTCGTTCAAGGTCTCTAACGATTGGTGACTATCGTCTCGCGGACCCCAAACAGGTAGCCTCCATCTTCCAACATGACTCAGTCCACTTGTCAGTGACTTCATGGATTTCTGCCAATAATACTGTACTAGATTTACTTTTCGTATATTCATCTATATATATATATATATATATATATATATATATATATATATATATATATATATATATATATGTATATATATATATATCAGCGCTAAAAAATGTTGGGAACTTGATATGCGTTTTAATTTAGGATAGGAATATGTTGCGTTTATACTAAACTGCCTTTTACTTCAACATACAATGCTGTCCGTATTAGGAGTAGGTTGAAGGAGTGTTAAAGGAATGAGCTATATCTAGTGTTATACATTAAAAATATTCAAGCTACAGAAAAGTTTCCTTTTAGCGCTGTTTCAGTCCTTCTATCGATCCTAACTGAGATCTTACCTTTGAATGCAAGACGGATGAAGATACATTTTTCTTTAACAGTTGTTTGTTTGTGACTTCCCGTAGTTAGTTTACCATACTTCAAAATACACTTTTTTTCAGATATCCGTGTCTTAGCATTATTCATTCTCCTTAGAAATTCGATTTATTATTTTCATTTTTCCTGTGAAGTGGTGTGATAACTTTCAAATAAATAATATCAATGGAAATATCGTTGATTTTTATCATTCTATTTTAATTCTCATCTTTGAAAAGGCAGCCGGTTAGGAATTTCACTACCTTCATCTACATTGTCCAGTAAACAGTGGTTGAATTTTTAAGTTTCTAATTCGATGTTGTTGTTAAATATGGATATTTGCTTTTTACTCAAGAATTCAAGTTGTTGAATTTCACTTTAATCATTTTTTGTTATCTGTTGTTTACTTGCAGTAGTTGTGAATTGCTTCAATACATTATCTAGTAAATCATGCTTTTTAGTTTGCAACCTATCTATAAAGTTACCACTTTGGCTTAAAACGAGCTTGAATTACCGAAATCAATTAAATAACTAGCTTAAATAACTAACTTGCTTATCTCAAATTTCACGGTTTCCTATTAGTAGGTTTTCAGCGTATTTTATATTTTCATGGGTTACTCTATTAATCCCGAAACTTCATAACTCACTAAAGTCTTTTATTCAAATTGTGATAAATATTTACTGTTATTTGTATATAGTTGTATTAAGGGTTTACCAGCACAGTTTCGAAATATACTGGTAAACATTTTGTTTTCTTCTTTATTAGAGCTTACCCAATCAGAAATTCAAAGTTTATTTAGCCCAGTGGATTTAGAAAGACTGAGGCGTTATAGTAGGTCACTTATTGATTTCCACCTTGTCAACGATCTTTTACCTCGTTTGGCTCAGATTTATTTTCAAAGGCGTCTGCCAAATGTGCGATTAAATAAAACTCAGCAGGTAAACATAACAGTTTTATTAATCGAAATAGTAATATGTTTGTACAGTTTCGATGATTTGAAAATTAAATTTCCGACATTTTATAACTTGGTATAAGTTGCTTTTTTGAAGCAGCAATGTCAGTAATTCAATTTTCTACTTATTATGTTTTCACAAATATATAATTATATTCATTGATAAAAATATGTTGTTCAAATGTGTCTACGTAAGGAGTATCTTGTCAGTTTATTATTACTTATGATAAAATAACTATTACGAGAACTGATGTTCTCTTACATTGTGAATGGCTAATTATAAAGTGAGGAGTGGTTAAATAGCAAAAGCCACCGCATCTTATCCATGCTCTATCTCAGGCTGAAATCCCGCCCAGATTGAACTGTTAAGTAGTATCACACTTAATTAATGTCGTATTTTACCAAAATATTATGCGTTACGAATAGACTAAATGAAACACCAGTAACACACAAAAAGTGCGACTCGGAGGCGAGTACTTAGATTCATATTGTATATGTAAGTTATATGTTTATATTATTCACCAAAGAGGGGTTCTCACTGCATATCAGGAAAATTAATGATTTTCTCTGGAAATTAATTTAATAACTTCTCCTTGTACAAAGAACAGTGGAATGTACAAATATTATTATAAGCCAAAATGAAATCAGTTTAAGTTTCATTTTTCTACCAGAAACCTTATAACAACAAAATCTCAGAGTAAATGCATCCAAAGATAATATATCATTAATTGCTGTGTTGTTTGTCACTAAAACCGTTAGTTATTTTAATTTCTGTGTCATTATTTTTTAAACATTCGAGTAAGTGATTAAAGCAACTGTCAGTGTTACTGTACCGTAGTTGAGAGTTAGTGGTAAGTTGGCTTACATGTAGTAATTTACTCTTGTTCTTAGGTAAATATTGTTTTGGCTCACTCTTATAATCAATCTACTCAGTTCTGTTATGTGTAAAGTATGTGGTTGTATATTGTTTTATTACAGTTATATAATAAAGACTTACTGTTATTAATCATGTATATACCATATCAATTGTTTTTGTGTTTGATCTTTGCTTGTACTTTCTATTTGTATAGGTTATCCTCTTATGTATGGGTTTACAACATAAAACAGTGGAACAAATATCTAGTGAATTTAATCGTCTACTTGGTGATTCTGCTCGCCCTCAAATTAGAGTTTCTGGATTTTCAAGGTCTGATGATGCAGTATATTCAGTGCTAAATTCTCTAAAAGAAAAAGGCGACCTATCTGGATCCACATTCAACACCGATACTTTTGATCATAAAAAGAAGGGACCAGATACAGGGGTTAATTCAGGTTGGACTAAGTGTATTCTTGGACTTCTGTTTGTTATTGTTCGTGAGCATATCAAGTCGTTAGACGCTATACTTGTGTCTGAAAACAAAAGTAGAATGGAATCTAAAAAGGAAACAATCAATGAACATTTACAGCCAGTCATTGATGTACATCTAAAAGTAAGTGTTCACACTGTTAAATTGAAACGGAAATAGTTTTAAGTTGCATTTAAGTCCAAAGCACTTAGTCCCTTTTATGGATTTTTATAGGACAATGAAAAGGCTTAGTTGTTCAAAAAGATATGATGTATTTGCGCTATACATTCTGAACAATCTGGTCACACTATACTCGTCAAGGCATTTTATATAAAAATTAAAACAGTTCAATTAAACTTCGAATAAAAATAAGGTGATAAGAAGACAGACAATTAACAAAGCATAGAAAGAATCGGAAAGATTACCAGGGTGAATTCAAGGTTATAAAAAATTATTTCTGTACACATAAGAAGGGTTTTGATTTACGAATAGCCAATGCTTCTATAAACGTAGGAATTCCTCCTTGACCTAACGCTGTTGTTAGGAAACGGATACTAGATAAGGATGGCAAATCAATAGATGAAGTATTGAAACTTCATCAGTTGAGGTGGTTGGGACATGTGTTACGTATCCTCAATCAACCACCGACTGCCTCGTCGAGCTATGTTTTGCGATGTAGGAGTAGGTTGGAAGAAAGCTAGGGGCGGCCAGACCAAAACATGGCACAAATTCGTGAAGTCACTGACAAGTGGACTGAGTGGTGTTGGTAGATGTAGGCTATCTGGTTGGGGTCCGTGAGACGAAAGTCATCGATGGTTAGAGACCTTGAACGACATGGCTCAGAATCGTTTGCAATGGCGCAAGTTCATCCACTTTTTGTGTTCCCTGAAATCCTAGTTTTCTGAATTCCTCAACACATCTATCTTTTTAAATTTATTTCCCTGGATTATACTTCTTGAATAATTTTTCCGAACCCTAATCTTTCTGACTACTGTTTATGCTTCTACTACCTCTACTGCTATGGGATTTGAATTGACCGTTGCATCTCTGTACTAATGTAGTGTGGTATCTTGAACTGATGTACGTACGTACGAAGTTCTACGTTGTAGCTGACTGAGTTCTTATGATACTTTCATTTGTCTTCCTTGACCATTTTTATATAACGTTTTAAAAGCTGTATTGACGTCAATCCAATGAACCTTTCGATTGTGTTTTGCTCTTGATGAACATGGTTTTCTATTTCTCACTTTTATCGGATCATTTGACATTAGCTGATTTGGAAGCCATATAGGCATATGTAACCAGACTGTTCGAAGTGTATAGTGGAAATATATCACATTTTTCAGATAAACTATGTCTTCTCATTGTTCTGTAGTTAAGTATTTTTCGAATAGTAGACCTATCAAACGTTCCTGATTTTAAGACATATATATTTTATACTTACTGTTTATTAATTTGGGTTGGTGATATTCTGTTACCGTTTTTGATTTTCTTGTAAATTCACTGAGTATTTATTAAAATCTGCTTTTGTCACGTTTGAATTTTTATAGGACGGCAGTTACGCTGCGCTCAGAGTAGATGAAAATACGTTATCAGAGTCTGACGAAGAAAAGTCTGATGAATGCGAGAATTCACTTTCAGATGATGACAACGATAGTGATTTAGAAAATCAAGAGCTCTCTAACATTCATCCTTTAGAATCGAAGTCAGAAATCAGCGACTCTGAACGCGAACGTCGATCTACTTTAATACGTCAGCTAATATCGGAAGAAATTTCCGGCCAAAGTAATTTATTTTCTTCTTACAAAATTCAAGGTTCTGAAACTGATTGGGCTGAAGCTGTAATTGGACATGGAGCTGATCTTTCATCTCTAAATGTAAAATTGTCATCTAGTAAAAATATTAGCAATAAAAGGTAAGTAGTAAGTTACGCATAAACTCTACTTGTCCTCTCTTCCTTTTAAAATAGTGATGTTCTATGTTACGCATAAACTCTAGTTGTCCTCTCTTCCTTTTAAAATAGTGATGTTCTATGTATAGTTTTCATACCTACCTAAAGTTATTCGCTAAATGATTTAGCCTTGTTGACTTTTACATCATAAATATATGATACAACTTGGGCTATGAGTTCATAAATCTTCATTCACTTGCGTTTTTCATGAGTTCCTGTCATCTATGAAAAATACAGCGAAATTATTATATCTTCTAAAAAAATATTCTCCTTCCTTTTAGTTTTGGATCGGCATTGTTGAGTAATTTATTATAGTCCATCTATTGACTAGTTCTCTTATATTATTACCTATAGGATCAGTGACTCATTTAGTAAGAATAATCACTGTAACTATCTTTTAAGTCGTTTCTGATATGACAAAAGTAAGCTAATTCATAGTGTTAGGGTATAAAGATTTATTGTAATTAATTTTTAATATATTGATATAAGTCATTAACTCCTAAAATTTCTATAACATTTATAGAATATCTCGTAGTAATCTTTTCTTAATAACCAGTTTATATTCCCTTGGGATTCTTATAGTTTATACTGATATTCTAAGAATAATTATAAAGCGCCGAATCAATTTTGTAGTGAGAACAGTTTTCTTATTTAGTAGCAGCACATATAAAGTGCTTTTTGTGTTGAAGACAAAAAGTTGTTTCCAGTAGTTATATTAACTCCTTGATCATGTTTTTTTGCTTCAAATAGTCAAAAAGCACTGCAAAGTAAATTACACAGATATCATCTTGCTTTCTTACCTTCTCATCTTCAGCGTTTTATCTTTTAATTTTGCACATTTATTACTCTTTATCTATCCTCTTGTTAAATATTCAAACTCTAAACAGCTACATTTTCAGTTTCTAAATATGAATAAAATTCTTGTGCTTTCTTTTATCTTCTCTTGCTGTCACTTTGATAACTAAATGGTTATTATTATCAGCATCATTATTGACATACCTAATTTTCATCATAGAGTTATGAAGATTATTCTTTTTCATTGGAGTCATGAATCAATTATTGTTAGACCATCATTGGAAACATGGAAGCACTGGTCGGCCATTCCATCTTCGCATAGGACTGTAATAGTGCTCATCCACAACCACCGCTCGCTCGGATCGAGCCCAGGACCTTCGGTCTCGCGCACGAACGCCTAACCTCTAGGTGACTGAGTCGGCATTAACGTCTAACTTTCATTAGTTTAAGGCCTCGCCCAACCAAAGGTCCTATTTTCGATTCTCACAAACAGGGGTTCTGGATGCAAACTACTGAAGAGTCCCGTACTAGGACAAAACGGCCATCCAATGCCTCCAGGTTTTAAATGGTGGTCTGACTGAGTGATTCATGATTTCATTGAGAATACTTAATTTTGTATATTAGTTTGATTAAAATATATATTTGCAACCGTATAGTTTTGAAAATGAATTTATTTAATCAATCTTGTTTCTTTGTTTTGATAAGTGCATTCCGTTTGTTTATAAATTGTAAGGATCACTTGTCCATGAAAGATACTAATTAGCTTTATATTACTCTGTTAGACTGACTGACGTTAACACGAATATTACCTTTCTCAGCGATTGCAAAAAAGTATAGACATCCAAAATGTTGTTAGAAAATGCTCTTTAGAAATCATATTTACCTGAACTATAAATCTATGAAAGGACACATAAATTCTTCGTTTCTTCATTTGTCTGTATTTTTATTTATTTTAATTTGTTTAGGAAAAATAAAAGTGATCGTTTCAATACTCAACAGTCTAGTCACTTAGAGAAGAAAAAACATAAAAAGAAACTCAAACTGACAAAATCGAAGCGCCAAAAGCTGAATTGATTTCGGAAGAATTATTTTCTACTTGTGTACAGTGATGTAAAAATTTAAATATATGGTTGACCATATATCCTTGTTTTTTCGTTTTCATGTAGCATATGGATAGGCTGATCCAATCAAACTTATGCGATTAACCTCTTAAGTGACAACTGATTATCTTTTAATTATTGGTTGTTATTTTCCAAAAAAAACTGATGAGTGTAGATGTAAAGGTGGATTTTGAAATCCTAGCTTCCTTTGTTCTCTCAGTAGATGTACATTTGGAAATAAACCACATAATCTAGAGGTTTAATTTATTTGAAAAATCACTCAACATACGTTTTTCAGCCTCTTTCAAAAAATAAACTGATCCATTGTATAAATGGATAATTTAGTTAAACTGAAAGTTTGTACAATGTTTTAGATAACAGTAAGTACGGATATTAATCACTTATTCAGTAGATTAACAAGATCCATGTACTTCTGCTACATCTTATCTATTCAGTTGTTTATATAGCTTTTCGACTGTAAGCTATTTTGATTCATTCAAGCCAGTCTATTACCTATTAATTTTAATTTGGTCATTTTTCGAAAATTTCGCGCGTCCTTTCATCCTCACATTTAACAGTTTTATTGACCACCTTGCGATAAATTTTCCCTAACCTCTTCTTTTTCATGATTGGTCACCGCTATCAAGGTTATCTCGATTATTATGTAGTCCATTGGACTAAATAAGTTATGAAGCGTTTGATCAGACTTCTTCCTTTCCCAACTTCGATAAGTTAGTGACAACTAAAAATGGATGAAGTAAACCCTCATATTCTTTATTTACCTCGTAAGCAATCCAAAACATTTTTGTTCTAGTCGTTTTATGGTATTCTTTTCATCTATAATATGTAAATGTTTTTAGACTTGTCGTTTTATAATAGTGTCATAAACTCTGAAAGACAATTGTTTTGAACTGACCTTATTAGTTGTCCTTCATAAACTGTTGGGATAAATTTTCATATGTATTCGCCGTAGCGAAATATGATAAAAATGACAGTGATTTCGATCCCTAAGTTCATACTTTTTGTTTGCGTAGGTTTCTGATCTAGTGACACGATATTGTAATGAGTCAGCCTCATAAAAACTATTGCATAAGAATGTTCTATCATCAGTTTTCAATTCCAATAATTGCTTTTTATATACTTGGTTCATAATGCTGCTAGTAGATTCATTGATTAGGATGTTTTAGGACATATTTTATTGAAACTGATACCTCGCTATTTTGGGTTACCACAGTTTCATACTGAAATAATATCAATCATGTGAGAATTCATATGTATCGGTCACATCAACTGTCCACATCGAATAATATTAATCAAGTATACGCACTTCGCTGTGGCTATACACTAACCGAATTTCCAAAATCGTTGACACCAAGAATTCCTAAACAGCTGTTTCACACTAGCATTTTATAAAAGCTCAGAAGAAATTCTTTTCGATCACGGCATAAATTGTTTCAGTAAATGGATTACTAGTTTTCGCATTATTTGTGATCATTTAAATCTGACAAGCTCCTAACTCAGTTGTAGCGAAATTGTCTAGTTTGGCCAACTGATACATCACATATTACGTGAAACCCATTTGCTTGTTACAGGGTGGGTTCTTATAGCATAAACTTAGGGACACATTTAGGTTGTGAAGTATGGTTTTTAAGACTGAATAACTTACCCAGAATATGTAAGGCGTGTTTCTAAAATGTGTTTCATGTCTTTAGACCTCAAGTGGTCCATAGTAAATTTGGATGTAGTGCATTGAATGAGCCAAGTCAGTCAGTGAAGTTGCAATTTTCCGTCGGTTTAGGTATTTGATACATTTGTAGCGTCTACATAATCACAATCTCACTCGGTGTTTCGTTACCTGATTTCTAAAGAGTTCTGTTTAACGTCAGCCGTCTAGCTGAAATATATCACTTTTAATCGGTCACACTCGCAAATCAGTAATTTTTCATTTTTCTCTTAGTTTAGAACACGTAGTTCAATTGCCTTTACTTATCACTTTAAAATGCATTATTTCATTCCTATTAATATTTGCCATTTAATCTTACTCAGTTCTAGTGTATAAACTTCCAATAATGTGGATTTTGCTATAACTCACTCTATGCTATCTTTTTACCTCTGGTATGCCTTCAGGCAATAGTCAGTCAGTCAGTTACAGCGTAGAACTTCATGTTGCCATAGCACAGAGACGCAATTGTCAATTCAAATCCCATAGTGGTAGCGATAGTTGAAGTATTAGCAGTAATGAAGAAGATATGATTCAAGAATTATAATTCAATAAGATAAATTTAGAAAGAGAAAGATAGAGATGATAAAGAATTCAGGAGGTTTTAGTCCGATGGACGCAGTCGTTTAATTGACTCGGATAAACAACTAATATTTTCTGATATAAATAGTTAAAAAATTAAATTTTAAATCCTACCTTGTATGATTTTAATACCATTTGTATCCAACGTACATAGTGGTAGTCTCAAAAAGCAAATAACCACCTTGAAAACATAAATTTCTGTAAATCAGGAACTTGAGTACTTGGCTGAAACTATAAAAAGTAAAAGGCGTTTTACCATCGTCGTACAATTAGGATTCAGAGTGAAGTTTGAGAGCATCCACTTGATTGCTCATTGTCAGTTCAAATCCAAGAGTGATAGCGATAGTAGAAGTATTAGCAGTAATGGAGAAGATATGATTGAAGAATTATGACTCAATGAGATAAATTTAGAAAGAGAAAGATAGAGATGATGAAGAATTCAGGAGGTTAGAATTTGAGAGAACACTAAGAGTGGATGCACTGGCGCCATTGCAAACGATTTTGAGCCATGTCATTCAAGGTCTCTAACCATTGGTGACTATCGTCTCGCGGACCCCAACCAGGTAGCCTACATCTACCAACACCACTCAGTCCACTTGTCAGTGACTTCATGGACTTTTGGCATGTTTTGGTCTGGCCGCCCCTAGCTTTCTTCCAACCTACTCCCACACCACAAAACAAGTCGAGGCAGTCGGTGGTTAGGCATGCGTAACACATGTCCCAACCACCTCAACTGATGAAGTTTCAATACTTCATCTATTGATTTGCCATCCCTACCTAGTACTCGTTTCCCAACAACAGCATTGCTTACTCGGTTGTCCTTGGATATACGAGCAATGCTTCGGAGGCATCTACAATCGAATACTAAAAACCTACGAATATCCTTAACTTTTACCGGCCACGTTTCGCATCCGTACAGTAGAACGGAGCTAACTGCTGCGCAGCACATTCGTCCCTTGGTTAGCATAAAGGATATCTCACCTGCGCCATAGGTGATGCAAGTTGGCAAAAGCCAATAGAGCTCTCTGTATCCATGCTGATATTTCGTCAGTCATCAGGCCGTTAGCACTGATGAGACTCCTAAGATAAGTGAAGCGGTCTACATGCTCAACTGCTTCACTCCTTATCACTAGTTCAGGTGACGATGCAACCCAATCCTGAAGCAAAATTTTATATTTCGAGGGTGAGAACCGCATTCGGAACATTCTTGTATTGTTGCTTAGGGTAGTCAGCAGACTCTGCATTTTGTCAGCATCCTCAACGAATAAAACTATGTCGTCGACATACTGTGAGTTAGTAAGCGTGTCTCCTGGTAAAAGGTTCACTCCTGAAAAATCTGACGAGCTTAATGTTAACTCTAAGAGGATGTCTACGACAAAGTTACACAAGAATGGAAAGAGTGGACTGCCCTGATGGACACCACTTGAAGTAGAGAATTCCGATGACAGTTCGCCATAGGCTCTAACTCGACCTGTAGTGTTCGAGTAGAAGAGAGCTTGTATAAAGTTAATGTACTTCTTTGGTAGAACTTTTAATGACAGATAATGCCACAGAACCTCACGGTCCACAGATTCGAATGTCGCTTTAAGGTCGTGAAATACTACTTTTGTGGGGCGTCTGAAAGTGTGTATTTGTTCTAGGACCTGACATAGTGTGAATATGTGGTCTATACAGCCACATCCAGGTCTGAAACCAGCCTGGTTTTCTCGAGTCTGCTCTTCACGAGCTCTAGTTAGGCGTCTGAGTATAATCGAGGCCAACAATTTAGACACTATATTTGTCTGACTGATTCCTTTGTGGTTGTCACAAAAAGACGTTTGTCCTTTCTTATAAATTAGGACAATCAGGGATTACGTCCAGTCCCCCAATTCTACCTAAGATCTCAGTATATCTAAATGTTAAAAGTGGATCACCATCCCTAAAGATCTCAGGGTCAAGCCTATCAGGACCTGCTGCTGTACCTCGCTTTTGATTTCCTATAGCTTTCTCAACCTCATACAGATTCGGAGTGCTTACATCGACTCGCCATTCAAGATGACTGTAGATCTTGAGCAACCGTAGTGTCTTCTGTCAGTAAGATCTAGTAAACAATTAAATTAGTTGCTAGTCTGGGGACTTGGTCAATAATGTTTAGTCAGAACTAAGAATTAAGCATGTTTTTGATTACCATTGGACAATTAATAGAATTTATATTTATTTTTTAAATTTGAATTAAAACAATATGTGAAAATCATAATTCGTCATGTATGAAACCAGAATCCTATTCCATTTGTGCTATGGGTCGTCTTTATATGCTTTCTAAATTCATCTTGTGCAAAATTGTTGATTATAAAACTACAAGTCTACAAAAAAATGTGTTCTCATTATCATGTATCCTTTGGGTATATATATGTTCACATATGTTATCAGATGACACTAAATAGTCTTAGTTACTGATATTATGCACTTGGTCTTTGTATCTTTCAGCTGATAATGTCACCAATTTTTGGTTTTATGCTGTCCTGGCAGCAATGATAATTTTTTCATATTTTGTCGTAAGGGGGATAAGGGAAATTTAGTAAGTGAATTATTTTCAATATTAGTTAAAAATAAAATGATTTTTATGGTTAATATAATAAGTTAAAAACGCGTTTATCTTATACTATGACTACTATGATCAGCTCTCTATTATTTCGCTCCGTTTTTCCTGCACTGCTCCAGTTGAAGTCCATTTTTGACACAAATCCTGTTTGTTGAGGTTAACTAAGATATTTTTAATCTTAAACTATACGAAATTCGCACGGGTCAATGCGATGTTCTCAATATGATTTCACTCAGCCTTATTGGAGTTTAAGGGTAACTTGCCTGTTCTGGGTAACATTAATTTACTGAAATTGTATTTTGAAACTTTCAAGCAGACTCGATATTTAATCATGAAATATTTTATTATTCCTAGTTCTGAAACAATAACGGCAAATTTGTATCGTGTCAACCTATCTCACAAGCCAAAAGGTTATGGTTCTGATGAAAATGGGACGAGAACTGGCCCACACTCTTGATAAAATACCTTCTGTTAACTGTTTTGATCGATTTGTTTTTTGTTATCTCTTACAATTATGTAAACCAGAAGTCTGTTTGCAATGTTACGTCTCGCCATTTGGGTTTTGATTTATTTGTAAGAAGACTGATATTTTCCAACTACTTCCAAAGATTATGTGCAGTGTTAGAATAAACATGTAACCATTGTTACTGAAGCCACGGTATCCAATACATATATTTCAATGATGAAGCGACTTCTTCGATTTTTAAAGTATATATATACATTTCTTTAACAGAGCAGACAGGTTATTTAATGAAATGCGTATTCTGAGTGTTTACCTCCAGGTCAACAATTAGCCCCACTCTTTTTGTCCCGTCAAACAAAGGCATATAAGTTCAGGTTATATTTTCCCATTTTCCGAATAGAACTGACACTCGACCTTTTTTATTTTCAGTATGCCTTCAGGTTATGAGATCTAGTACACAATCGATGCAGTTAAGTTGTTCGCAAGTGTTTACATCCACTGAATTGAGGGTCGTATACAGGTTGCCAGTCTTTAGTGACAAATTTTTCCTTGCAGTTTATGGCAGCAACTGCACATATTTCGAATTTTTTTAATCAGGCAACAATATTGTTATTAAAGATAAATTTAATTTACAGTCATCTGTAATCCTTTTTTATATTTCTAAATTGATACTGAATCTTCAACCATGGTCTTCGTATTTTAAACACTAAGCAGATACTTAGACTGTTTAAATGTATAGATGTTGTCTGCCACATAATTAAAACTGGTGCTTAACTAGGAAACTTCAGGCAAGCTAGTTTATTTTATAGGGAACAGTCTGGTTTTATTTTAATCTATTTAATAGAAATAGCTCGAGTATCTGTCTAATTACGACCTATAAATTTGATTAAAGAGGCAAAAATTCCTTTAACTACTACGATGAACCATTTGACGTCAGACTTAACAGGTCAGATTCCATTTCCATCCTTCTGTTTCGCCTGACTATTTAAAACCTAAATAGATCTTAGGTATGAAATGTTCAACTCTTTTATAGACAGGGAATCTTGAGTTCTAATGTGGAAAGATGTTAGTGTGAGTTTAAGCATCAGGCACCTCAAAGAACAAGTAAAACTAGCAGCATTATTCAACTAAAAGCATTGCCATTCTTAATAATTTTAACTGTCAGTAAATTGTCTTGGTCTTAGTAAGTTGTTTATATAATACGATAGCTTAATATTCATCTACAGATTCTGAAACTCGTTGTCTTTAATGGTCTCTATTCGCGTTTATTCAAGATTCCAAACTTCAAATTGGATTTTGTTAATAGTTTAAGTATATCAAGGATGCTTTCACTGACTTTGTTTTACAGAACCAAAAATATGAACTGGAATATTATCAGTTTATAGAGATATCGAACAAGAAATTGATCCCGGTCACCACAAATAACTCTCCCGTTTATAAATCAATGTTCACTATTTTTCTGATAGATGTCTGCCTATTCTATAGTTTAATAATATATCGTTAAAAAGCTCTCATTACTATGAAGTTTTGAGCCGGTAGCGTACAAAATGCGAATCTATTCTGACAAAATGTAGAACTTAAACGTTATAAATGATTCGTAATTGACTTTAATGTCATTTCACTTTTCTTCCGTAAGATTCGAAAAAACATCCTGAAAATGATTTATTATAAAGTATTTCTTTTCTTTGAGTTTTGCCTGCAACGATTTAGCTTCAGTGAGTAGATTCTTAATATCGTTCTTATAATGGTTTTCAGATTCCACATGTCTCCTAAAAAGAAAAAAAATGAACTAAATCTCAACAAACTCAGAACTAGCAAGTGCACATCTCAAAGCATCCACTATACAGTCCAAATTCTCTGCTGAAATAATTAAGTTACAGAATGAAATTTTTTACAAACTTTTATCAAGCTTTTCAACATCTGAAATATTTGAGTCGTTAAGTAATATTTGTGGCACAATGACGGGTTTTTCTTTGTCATTATTATGATCATCAATATGAATACTCCTTTTGGGGCCGTCATTTTCTACTGGAAAGCTAAATAAATATAAGAAGCATTAGGACATTCGAAATTAAAACCTGCGATGCATTTTCGCACGAGAACAGACAGAAGATTTGAATAACTTTAATGTTCACCTTTGAATGTTCCAATATACAGTTGATTGTACATGCTTCAAGACAGAGTCATACCACGCGATCTATAATACCTCGGTACATAATAGTATTAGATCACCAGTGCCTCTAGGCATATTTCCGGTGATATAAGTCTAGCAGAGATCTTGTTTCGTAAATTTGAGAATAGAGCTACTTTTCTCTGAAACGGCTGTGATGATATCATTTAAGCCATCGTGTACATTATGTAACTCAAAGTTTTCATTCCTTCAACAACACATTCCAACCTACCATGCTTATATTTTCACTTGCAAGTATTCTCTGATGTTTGTGGTAGAACTGAATCTAAACTAGTGATTTGGGAAAGCGCATTATATAGTAGGTGACTGTGATTACATTTCTTAGTCCCTTACATTCTAAAAGACTGCATTATTTATTTATCAGATATCACAAACGAAGAGGATCGGAGGTATATACCTCACGGTGGTCCCGTGCGAATTCATGCTCAAGGGTCTTTAGGTATGTGTGACCACTAAAACGAATGAGGTTGATATTAATGTCAATTTCTTACAAAAGTATTTATATTGAGGATGTATTTTCTGCCACATATCCTTTACAGTTACTAGCTCAAAGTCGGCCAAGAAGGCAATTTTTCATCTAGCATCTGGTTCCTGTACATGATGAGCAAAATCCAATGAATTGCCAGTTGCTAATAACACTTAAGCCTAATAGTTTTCTGTGTTGTGGTTTTCTTTGGCTTCATACTCTTTACGCAATTTAGATTTTCAAAACATACGGCAAGTCGGAAATTTTTCCGGAACCTTGAGACGGAGCAGAACTTTCGCGATGCAAACCTATTCCAAGCCAGTGAGAATACCGCATTTCCACGTCATAAAATGCTTTCTTGTAGTCAGCGAGGTAAATATAGATTAGTGGGTTCATTGTGTAATGTTGCAATGCAAAGAATTACTCCATTATAATTTTACCCACATAATATTTTCGACCATCCAAACAATTCTGAGTAAATAGGTAATGTTTTTTCTCCGTCACTCAACAACGAACTTTAGAACTTTCACGCTATTATAAATAACACTTGTAACACATCAGACTAGGATTATATTATGTAATTTTATATTAAAACGGTGTACACTGCATGAGATTTGTTTCCCTATCAAGGTTCATTGAGGAACTTTAAAAATCTCGGTGTAAAATATCGGCAACAAATATGACTAAAATTGCAGTGCTGCCTGAAAACTACCCACAGTATAAAACGACTGAGAGCTATGTTCAAATCTTGTCGCTACCAAATATATTAATCCTTGTCTTTTTCAAGCAGTCACCAAGGATACAGATTCTGTCCGCTTATAGTAACCGTAGAACAAAATAAATTATCATTATATTTTAAACTATCCCACTCCATTGAATATGGACTAACTTATATTTGTTGCCAAATAATCTACTTCTCAGGGCAGGCCTATGGGCTCTCATAATTACGGTGAGGTCCATGAACACATATAGACTGACTTTATATTATATATTCCGAATTAAGTAAACGAAATTATCAACGATCCAGACTTATTGCTCTCCATATGCCTCAGCTCAGAAAAGGCTGAATGTTGTATTCTTGAATTAATTAGACATTTCAAAGGCCATGGAAATCACAAACCACATAAATTATTCACTTGAGTATGCTGTTGTTACTATATGCATCATAACAGTGATTATATGTTCTTGAAGTTCATTTGGAAATCGGTTTCTCTTTCATCTTATCGGCTTTTATGCAAGATGAAATCCAATATTAGCAATAGTGATCATAGTTAGCAGACATTACATTTGGACTACCTTTCTGTTGGTATTTAACTAGACGATTATCTAGCACAGCGTCTAGAAGAAGGATGGCTTGCTTGCATGTAGAAGTAGTACGTTCGTTCACAAATCTCTCAGAAATGTGATATTTCGTAATTTTTGTGCAACTTGAAATTCCGAGCTCAAATGATTGATGAACAAAATTTCGAAGCTTTTTTGGCTCGAATACTTAATACCTTGAATCTTGTATGAGCGATAAAGCCTAACATACACTGGTTTCGTTTTGATTTCACGTTCATCAAAAAATTAAATAACCCTTCACATGCGTAAAGTGAAAGTCGACACATCAGTTTATTGATAATGATTAAAAAAGCAACTAGGATATTCAAAAACGAGTTCTTGCATCAAAGCCCCCAAACAAATTGCAACGAAACGAATAAAATTAATTGGTGTTCAAAACTGAAGGTATGATAACAATATGTTTATCCTGAAATTACAGCGTGTTGCAAGGGGCATTCCACTTTTCAGGCTGGCTACAAATCCTACCACATATACAGTAAAAGTTAGTAGAGTTAGATTAGAAATAAGAGTCCGCTTCTGATAACGCACTTACATCATGTTACTGACAGGAAGAGTTTGATACGGATAAATTTTTAAAAAGTGAATACAAATATGGAAGGTACACAGTAGAGTTCCAGGGTTGTTTGCGTATTTCATGCCTAAATTTGTTAGGTAGTGTCAACTGGAGGGCGTTTGATACGAGCTGTGACCTGGGCGTGCGAGTACACACGGTGCATTTTGCGTGGATGTAGCATGGATGTTCGGCTATGAATATGGTTTTGAGAAAGGTTAAAAAGGAGCAACGGAACAATTGCATATATACAATCGGATCACTGCTTCGCTTTTCATGGTAAAGTAGAGAATGCAGTGGTGAGCCAGGATAAAATTCACACAGACCACTAAATTTTAAGTAAATAGTGATAATATAGCCCACAAATTAAGGTGTACATCAATGAAGATGGAAGGGATGTTAGGTGTGTCAAGTGGATAGAGGACAATCTGAGCTAATAAGCTGGACATCTGAACAATGAAGTCGAAGGTTCTGTCTAAAGAGTAAATTTTGTAAAAACATTGATGATAATAATTTTTCACTGTCTAACAGCACAAGTATTTTCGGTCACACTAATAATTATCAGGCAGAAAAAGTACATACTAGGTAGGGTTTAATTATATTATAATATTATGAAATGCTATAGAATACGGTGTTTATCCTTGCAGTGGTAGCAGTTTCAGGAATCCCGCATAAAGAGCTAGACGTGATAAGTTCCACATGATTGTAGCCCCGACAGAAACTCTCTTAGCACAATGTTTTGATTATATAGTAAACCAGTTATTTACATTGATGCCTTCAAATGGATGGAGAGAAAGTATTAGGAATACAAAATAACTGTATCGGCAATGTTTTGACCGATTTTTCAATATACATAAATTTTTGATTGGTGAAGCAATTACTCACTATTTGATATCAAGCACAGTATAGGTTATAGTCAGCTCTCAACGAACGTCTGTTCTACTGGTATGTAGCATTAGTCAGTTTTAATAATTATGACAAACATGCACACAGTCTGCATGATATTCGTTAAACCGTCATTGAAACCGATAGAGTCCGATGTGATTTACTAAGGAATCAACAGGAGGAAAATATATCGGAATCATCTATGCTTTGTGATATCGAGATAGCTGTATGGCTAACTATCTATTAAGTTGGTTGGACATTCGCTGGTTGGGAAACGTAGTGTTATTATAGATGCTCAAGAGTTTTGATGGTTTAAAATGCCCTCACTTGTATTGATTAGCAGATATCAGTAATTAATTCAGTTGATGCTTCCGCCTAATATCTTCACTGTCTACTTCCGTCGAAGGAAAAACTTAGGGAGATAGTTATTACACAGGCATAGACTGCACCCTCCTGACCTCAGATGGACAATGTTTGTTATCTTGTGGCTTTGTGTTGATCTGGACTTACAGTTCTCATTGAATTATTTTGGGACAAATTCGCTCTTAATATGTGTACTGTAAAAGGTAATATAAAGCATTCAAAACGATGAAGGATTCAAGCAAAGCAGTTGAAATATTACGTAAGGTAAATATTTTTCTCCCTTCTTAAAAAATAGTGTGGTGTGAGCTACTTAAAAGTAGTATATGACGTGAGTAAAAACGTAATGTCTGGCAGCAGATGGCGGAAGATCAAGAAAGGAAGAGTGGGAACACAATGGAATTTGTACGAAACGCATGAATAGTGACAATGGATTGATGTTTTGCAGCAGGAACAGTCCAGTTCGATATGATGAACTGATATTTTGCAAATTAACGACTTACGATATAGTTTCCTGATTTTATTGAGTAACTCTGTGATTTTCGTTAAATACAATCCGGTTGCTTCACCTGTGTTCTCGTTCACTACAATAGGACAGATAGATGAAACTGTGCGCAAAAAGGACTGTCATTCCTTTTAGTTAATACACGCCAAAAGCATTTATTAGGTCAAATTTGAGCACGCATGTGATAAACTAATTCTGTGGAAAATATAACCTGTATGTTATTATTATTAAGCAAGCGTGTACTGAAAAGTTTCTTAATATGAGGAGAATCAATAAACATTTATTTTATAAATCGAAAAAATTTGGTCGAAGCAAGAATCTAGAAAACTTTTAGATTGATTCAGGAAACCTGGTACAGAGTTTTTCTCAGTGGTCGCCACCCTCTTAACGACTCATTTAAGAATGTCAATTCGCAAAGCTGTAGCTTGGTTTCAAACTTCTATGTCGTGAGTCTACGTTTAGCTTCAGCTGATGTCAAGGTTCTTGCAAACTCAGGTTTACTTTCAGTTTTAATGCGTAAAATTGTTTTGACTCAAATTTTTAAGATTCAGAGCTCGATCTGACCGAGTTACGAAGTTTCTAAGAATATTTATCAACATTTGAACGAAGAATTCGATTGTTATTTGGTGCTGGATATATATGCATCTACATTTGCAAAAAATATACAAAATTATTTTCAGCTATTAGGTTTTTGGATAGTTCCAACGTTTTTTTCGAGCTATCTTATCAGAACTTTCTCAAGATAGTAGCAGTAATCAAAAGAGCAAGAGGAGCTATAACGCATAGCAACCAACCCAAGTTTACACTAAATATTTGCCGACTCTGATTCTGATGTCGATTTTACTAAGTAGGATAACATGGATCAAATTTGAAGAAGTCCAGACAAAATAGATAAAGGAAGGGTTAGAACCATCCAATATTTCAACCACTGAGATTATTCCAGATGTAGTTGTCACAAATAAGTTTCAAAATTCTTTACGAATGTAAAGACACTTCTTATTTGTTATTGCAGGTGATTTGACAAACACAGTTTATTGTAGCGTCAAGAGCCTGTTTATTGCCGATTAAAAAATCATATCACCCTTAAGTGTATCATCAGTATATTTACGTCTAGATCTTCTGCACTGAACACATAGTACCGTCTCTTCTAAGCCAAAAAAATTGCAAAAGTTGTCTCACATACGTTTTGTTTCCGTTCAAAAGAGTAGCTATAAAAGTTTTTGACTTAGCTCCGTTTCGTCCCTAGGAATGTTACTAAGTACAGAACCTGTATCTAACTAAAAATTTCCAAGCCTCATTTTCTATCTTCAGCATAGAGAAAATCTTCAGGCATAAATAGGTTATACGAATGGACTACGTCTTACAATCTGTGGCTAAATGTCGATAAATATGAACTCCTTTACACTAAAACTCTGACCCTAATATGATGCTGCACACGTACTGTCTGAAACCAATCAATATTGCTCGAGATATGAATATCAGTTATATGGAACACCAGAACTTTAAACGTTATATCTCAGTAAGTCGCACTGCTAAATAAATTGCTTTTTTGCTTAGTTTCTGCAGCAATATGAAGGAAAATACCTAATTTTATGATAAAGTAACCACTTCAAACATTTTGAACCAGATACCATAGAACAAATAATTTGTATTTACATCCAAGCCTATTAGGAATTGAATTTGTTTTACAAATTATGAATCCATACACGCTTCTCACGTTCTTGGAGCTATGAAACAGAATTTCAGGAATCCTACATCACATACTAATACAGTCTTCTGTGTTTTATTCAAGTAAAAGCTAGGCCAAGGTAACAGCAGAATTTCGGATTCACTGTCCCGTTCGGCGTTCGAAATCTTCTGCCACCAACTTTTGGTTTGTATCATTAGTTTGTTCTAATATTATGCTTGTGTCTTTTTTGATTGATGTCGATTTCTTTATCTATTATAAGTTAGTTCATTCTATTTCATCAACGAGACGTTTGCTTATTTTTTCTTTCATGTAAGTAACCTCATGATACTCCTCACACCTTCCAGCACAATGTATATTCAGGCTTAATGCACGCCTATCAAAGGCTAAAGTTACAGTGCTGTAACTGTGTTAAAATATTTGTGATATTAATGTGAATTCAATTTTAAACAATATAGTCTGTTATTAGCCACTCGGTGCTCTCCCTTTTCGTGGATTTCCAGAATAAATTTTGTATGCTGTAGTTTTAGGTCTTCACAGCCTGCCACTAAACACTAACAACACGTTACAGTGCATAGAAACCAAAGTATTTGCAACGTGATACTAGTGTATTGTGGTTAATAAGTTGTATTGTTACATGTTACAGGATTCTAGCGATTTACCGTCAAAATTAATTTTATTACTTAGATTGATACTTATTAATATAGCAAAATAAAAACCATTACTACCACAGTAGAGGTGATAGCTATAGGTGATTTGCAGCCAGACTTCTCATCACGATAGATTTTGTTTGGCTTTTCTCAATCTTACTCTTACTAAAACAAAGGAAATTTCGGGAACGTAATATATCGGTTTGGCTTAAAAAACTACAAGTATGCCCGTTTAGTTATGATAAGCAATAACTATCCATTCCACAATAAAATAACTAACAATTCGCAACAGGTAATTAAGGTTCTCGGCTAGCTTTTTTGAGGCGCGTAAAAATCTTGCGTTTGTGCATTAATAGCTCGGTTCTATAGATTTATCGTAAACCCAGAATGTGTAGTCCTCTATGCTATATCGCAAATACAACTCGTATGCTAGGTGTCCGATACGTGATATCGAAACTTCCCTGTTTGATTTGTCCGGGCTATATTTAATCCCGACTGTAGCTGCTACATTGACGTGGAGGTCAGGCTTGTCTATCGTGATGACCACCCGAGGTATATTGCCCGCGACATATGTTCCTGAGGGTTCTACCGTGCCAGGCAGGTCGATTGGAGAACGATGAGACTAAAAGCAGCTACTCAAGATCTGACGGTGAAGTCGTACTGCTGACTGCAGAGAGGTGAAAGCAGTAAGGCGTTTCCCTCGGACAACCAGCATCTGCAGCGATGCTGCCTTCTCACAAGGAAGGAAGGGTTAGCAAAGGTGGACCCTACAAATGTCACACCTCACCCTACCTCACGGATTTCTGTCTCCGGCGGTAAGGGACAGTAAGGACTAGTAAAGATAGGGACACTCTGTAGGATTTAAATTTGTCCTACAGATGTAATTCTAAAAACGTAAACGCGACTACCGCCGATGACAGAGTCCCCAGTGAAACTATAGTTAACAGAAGACAATTCGGTTTTAAACTTTATCTGTTTCTAAACAAAAAGAAAACGATTAATTTAGTACAATAAATAAGGAAATTACAATTATCAAGCAGGATGAGCAAACGTACCGGACAGTATAGCGTGTCTTTAGAAAATGAATAAAAAACATGAGTCACATCTATATAAAATAAAATAATAACATCCTTCAATCGATAGGCCGTTCACAACAAGAAAGTCCATAGACCGGTCAGACTAGATGACGTGGTGAGCGCTTAACCAATCTGATTGGTTAGTTATGACATAACTACAATTAGTTATAAAATAACTAACACACTCGCCGTTGCCTTTTCGTCGTACCTGCCTATGCCCCCACTGACTACAGTTCACACGAAGTTAAAGATGAGTTTTACAGAAAGCTTTCGGACCTCCTCCGAAAAGCTAGGCGCTCTGATGTAGTAATAATGGCTGGTGACTTCAGTACTCAAGTAGGTAGACTCAGCGAAAAGGAAAGTCACCTGGGTGGATCATATGGTGCCGCAGCTCAGAGAACAAACAATGGCGACCGTGTGGTGCAACTATGCTCAGATAACCGCCTATTTCTAGCAAACACTAACATTAGGCATAAGGAAAAGCATCTCCTGACATGGCGACCAACAAAGTCGTCTCAACGTTGGACCCAACTAGACCACATTGCCGTCAGCCACCGATGGAGGGGTTCGATAGAAGACTGTCGCTCGTTCTGGAGCACATGTTTAGATTCAGATCATGCTCTAGTGTGAGCGCGTATTTGTTTGCGACTTACTGGACGCCAGTCTTTACTTAATGATAATCAAGCTAAGAAAATATTTCAGGAGGAACTAGAAAAACAGGCGACCATGTAAGCGATTCCCGTCCGAAGCATGTTGGAATGATATCAAAAAGGCTTTGGAAACAGCAGTAATATCTGCTAGTAAGGTTAACCATAAGCCTAGAATGAAGCCGTGGATCTCAGTAGCATCTACCGAACTGATGGATGCTCGAAAACTCATCCCGCCTGGCTCTGACGGCGATGAGGAGCGGAATCAGCTTAGACGTATGCTGATAAAAAGCCTACGCAATGTTCGGGAACAGTGGTGGATGGAGAAAGCGAGAGAGATAGAAAAGGCAGCGGCGATAGGCAACAGTAGGCAACTATTCAGACTCATCAAGGAAACCGGTATTAGGAACCCGAATGTGAGTGAGACTATCTCGGAAAACGATGGTCGTATTATCCATTCTCAATCCAAGAGACTGGATCGATGGGCAGAACACTTTAGGGATCAGTTCAACTGGTCTCGAGCCACTCTCCCGTTACCCACGATCTCCAGTCATCCTGAATGGCAAATCGACGTACGTCCCCCTAGTCTTTATGAAGTTGAGAAATCGTAAGGAAATCTGAAACGAGGGCGAGCTGCAGGTCCTGATAGACTGACCCCTGAGATATTTAAGGATGGTGGTCCAGTTTTAGCAGCTAGGTTGACCGAGATCTTATGTAGAATCTGGGAACTGGACGTAATCCCATCCGACTGGTCTCAATCACTGATTATCCAAATCTATAAGAAAGGACACAAGCCTTCTTGTGACGATCACAGGGTAATAAGTCTAACTAATATAGTATCTAAAATATTGGCCTCAATAATACTTCGACGCTTAACGAAAGGTCGTGAAGAACAGACTAGCGAAAACCAAGCTGGTTTTCGACCTGGACGTGTCTGTATAGACCACATCTTCACACTTCGACAGGTCCTGGAACACAGACACACATTTAGGCGTCCTACAATAGTTGTCTTCCTGGACCTTAAGGCGGCATTTGACTCAGTGAATCGTGAGGTTCTGTGGCAGTGTCTGTCACTGAAAGGTGTACCAAATAAGTACATTAACCTTATACAAGCTCTCTACTCGAACACCACTGGTCGAGTGAGAGCTTATGGCGAACTGTCACCGGAATTCTTCACTTCAAGTGGTGTCCGTTGGGGATGTCCACTGTCTCCATTCTTGTTTAATTTTATCACAGACATGCTCCTAGAAATAACCTTATCCTCGTCTGAATTTTCAGTAGACATATTACCAGGAGGCTCGCTAGTTGACTTAGAATATGCCGATGATATAGTCCTACTTGGTGAAGACGCTGAAAAAATGCAGAGTCTTCTTACCACCCTAAGCAACAATGCAAGCATGTTCGGAATGCGGTTTTCCCCCTCGAAATGCAAAATGTTGGGTTGCATCGGCACCTGAACTAGTGATAGGGAGTGAAGTAGTCGAACGTGTAGACCGCTTCACTTATCTGGGGAGTCTCATCAGTGCTGTTGGTCTGGTGTGTGACGAAATCTCAGCATGGATAAAGAAAGCTCGATTGGCTTTTGCCAACCTGCGTCATTTATAGCGTAGGCGAGATATCTGTTTGCTGACTAAAGGACGAATGTACTGCGCAGTAGTTCGCTCCATCCTACTTTATGGCTGTGAAACATGGCCAGTAAGAATAGAAGATATTCGTAGGTTACTTGTATGCGATTATGAGTATCTTCGAAGCATTGTTAGTATATTCTGGGACACCCGAGTGAGCAACGCTGTTATTAAGAAACGGGTGTTAGGTAAGAATGGCAGATCAATATATGAAGTAATGCAACTTCATCGGTTGAGGTGGTTGGGACATGTGTTGCGTATGCCTAACCACCGACTGCCTCGACGAGCTTTGTTTTGTAGTTTAGGAGTAGGTTGGAAGAAAGTTTGGGGCGGCCAGATCAAAACATGGCAGAAATCCATTAAGTCATTGACAAGTGGACTGAGTCCTGTCGGTAGATATCGTCTACCTGGTTGGGGTCCTCGAGATGATAATAATCCATGGTTAGAGCCCCTCAATGACATGGCTCAAAACCGTTTGCAATGGCGCCGGTGCATTTATTCTCTGTGTTCTCTCAAATCCTAGTCTTCTGGATTCTTCAACACCTCTAGTTTTAACTTGCCTAACTTATCTCACTGAATCATACTTCTTGAATAATTTCTCCTAATCCTAACCTTTCCGATCGCTTCTAATACCTTTACTACCTGTTCTATTATTGGATTTGAATTGACAGTTATATCTCTGTGCTGATGTGGTATGGCAACATGAACTGATGTACTTACGTACGAAGTTCTACGTTGCATCTGACTGACTGACTGATATTTAGTCGCATATACTTAATATAAGCCTAAACCTCTGACTTTTCATTTATTTAGGTTTTCTATATCTAATTTAATTATGATTGCTCATTGGATGCCATGTAAAATCGAAGCGGACGGGATGAAATTGAATACGCAACTTCAATCTTCGGAAACTCTTAAGTAATGTTTGTATAATTTTGTTATTAGCTGTTGTAGCACTGAACCTGGTGCTTTAAGTAATCATGAATTGGCTTCAAACTTCCGGGGTAGACCATTACGAGGTGTTCAGCTTAACCTCCCTGATAGTTATTCACCAGTGGTTGTTCATCATAATGGTATTGTATCAGACGACGGGAGAGAATCAATCAAATTTGGGACTAGGCTCGATAAAATATTTCTATGGAATTTATCCACATCACCGAGTTTCTCAGATCCTATACCATTATCTCTCACCTGGCTTCATATGGCTAGCGTTTTGCACTCGAACTCTTAGTATTTACTAATACATGTTGTTCAAACTGTATATCTCTTTGTTGTGATGACTGGTAACTTCAAACGTATCTGTATAACTAAACGAATGATGATCAAAAAAGTATTGTTGACTTCTTTCTGTTAATAAAAACTTTCAGTGATAATTTATTTAAATAAAAACTAGGCGTCATATCAAAATGGCAAATTCAAGTTCTTAGAAAGGCATGATTAAGAAATATGTATGGAAGGGACTCTGTGTTCAACATGCTAACAAAATAGTACCAACTTTTTTGTGATGTCTTATATATCCGTTGTTGAGATAGTATTAGTGTATTTTGACTATTGGATTGTTTTAAAATGCTTTGATATTTGTTTAGATGTCTTTATATCTGTCAATTGTTTCTCTCAGTTAAAAGTAAACCTTTTAACCAATATTCGCTACATTCCTGTGACTTTTTAAGTCATAGGTCCTTAGGATAATAAGCGAGAAATTACTCACTGTCACTGTCATACAACGATAACTCGAAGTATATTACTAATTAGACCGAATTGTTGTTTAGGATTACGGGTTTTATCAAATCAACCTACTGAACAGATAATCGCAGTATGAGCACAAATTGTCAACCTGATATGCGATTCATGAGTACAAGTGTTCTTAGTTTTCCGTTCTATAGTCACCTAAGGAATAATCCATAAAACTAAAAAAAGTAAATACTGGCAAATAATTTTCTTAAGAATCGTTGAGACACCTCTACATTATGTCCAAAGATGTGATTGCCAGACTACACTCGCTTTATGCTGTCCAATAAAGTATTGAGGTCAAAAAAGCAATATGGATTAATGGGTATTACGAAAGCTTGATAAGAGTATGTTATTCTATATTTTTGGATTCATTTTTAGCGATTCCTAACACTACAACACTACCTATTCATAAATTTCAATAAAGCAAAGACTAATCAGTTAGTCGTTGCTGAAATTTCGATGCAGAATATTCAGAGGATTAATTAAAAAGTTTTCTTAACAGTCAACTGTGCACTGTTATCTTGACCAGTTTCTCAAAACAATGTACCTATGCAAAGTTCTGTCGTCATCAAAAAACAAGAAATATAACGCAAATTTGAATTAAAGTCGCAATAGATCTTACCTTTGAGCTAAATGCTTAGATTCCTACCCCTAGAAAAGTTGTCGGAGAACTAAACTTAATATGAAGAACCAAGTTAGTTGATTTTTTTCCAAGAATTCTCTGGTCTACTAAAAACCTTTGGAAAACGTATTCAAACCATTCTGTATTCAGGGAAGTATATACATCTGAGAATTTGTTGGCTTTCATTAGCGCTAAAATCAACTCACTCAGCTTGTCTTGTCCAGTTCTTATGATAAATTCAGTTGTCTACGGATAGCTTCTTACTTTTGGAATAACACTATCGTGAATTATTCGAAGTATGACGTCAGTTAATAAAGATCATTTAAAAAAAGGAATTATTCAACTAATATACTGGAGAGAAGTATTGGGTTTTTTACCAACTTAAAATTCAGGAATCAATAATTTATTTGTACATTAAACTTCTGAAGAAGAACTGTAATTAAGAAAAATCCCTTGAGCTTTTACATATGTGAATAGGATCAGTCGATTAATGTAAAAAATCAATTCATTACCAGTGGAAAATTCGTAAAAGATGCGTAATACAACAGTAATTCCTGTTATTAATGTCAGTGACCTCTGTGAAGGTCGGTTCCAAATAGATGGGATTTCAGAAAAAAATTACGGAGCACTATAGCAGTTTATATAGATTTGTATGTTACTTGTCAGTCAGTCAGTTACAACCTAGAACTTTGTATGTACATAGATAAGTTCAGGTTGCCATACCACATTAACACGGAGACGCAATTGTCAATTCAAATCCCATAGTGGTAGAGATAGTAGAAGTAATAGCGGTAAAACTGAAGATTAGAGTTCGAAGATATCATTCAAGAAGTATGAGATCGTGATATAAATTTAGAAAGAGAAAAATAGAAGTGAAGAAGAATTCAGAAGAACAGCATTTAGGAGAATACTAATACTGTATGCACCTGCACCATTGCAAACGATTTTGAGCCGTGTCGCTGAAGGTCTCTAACCATCGGTTACTATCCTCTCGCGGACCTCGACCAGGCAGTCTACACCTACCAACACGGCTCAGTCCCCTTGTCACTGACTTGATGAATTTGTGCCATGGTTTGGTCGCCGCTAGCTTTCTTCCAACCTATTCCCACACCACAAAACACTGCTCGTCGCGGCAGTCAGTGGTTAGGCATACGTAACACATTTCCTAACCATCTCAGGTGCTAAAGATTCACCACTTCATTAACTGATTTGTTATCCTTACATGGTACTCGTTTCCTAACAACAAAACCGCTTACTCAATTGTCCCAGGATAAACAAGCAATCTATCAAAGACATAATCGAATACTAATTGCCTACGAATATCCTCTGCTCTTACTGTCCATGTTTCACAGCTATAAAGTAAGACCGAGCAAACTGCTTCGTAGTACACTCGTTCTATTGTTAGCCAACGGATATCTCACCATCGCCATAAGTGACTCAAGTTGACAAAAGCCAATCGAGCCCTCTCTATCCGTTCTCGGATTTCTCCAACCACCAGGCCATCAACACTGATGAGACGCCAGAGATAAGTGAAGCGGTTTACACGCTCGACCGCTTCACTGCCTATCACTAGTTCAGGTGCCGTCGCAAGCCAATCTTGAAGCAACGTTTTGCATTTTGAGAAGTAAGACCGCGTCCCAAGATTGCTGGGGGTAGTCAAAAGACTGCATTTTGTCAGCGTCTTTACCAAGCAGAAATACGTGATCGACGTACTCGAAGACAACAACCGAGTCTCCTAGTAGGTCAACCCCTGAAAAGTCAGACGAAGTTGATGTTAACTCTAAACGCATGTCTACGACAAAGTTAAACCAAAATGTGTAGAGTGGATAGCCCTGACGGACACCACCTGACGTAATCGATTTTGATGACAGTTCACCACAAGTCCTCACTCGATCAGTAGTGTATCTAATAGAGAGATTTTGTAAGGTTAATGTACTTTTATGGTACTTCTTCCAATGACAGACACTGCTACAGAACCTCACGATCAACTGAGTCGAATTCCGCTTTAAGGTCAAGGAAGACAATTATTGTAGGACGCCTAAATGTGTGTCTGTGTTCCAGGACCTGACGAATGGTGAATATGTGGTCCATACATCCTTGTCTATGTCTGAGACCAGCCTGGTTTCCTCTAGTCTGCTCTTCACGAGCTCTAGTTAGGCGTCGAAGTGTTATTGAAGCTAACATTTTAGACATTTTAGACTGATTCCTCTGTGTCTGTCACGAGAAGACTTTAGTCCTTTGTTTTAGACTGGGACAATCAGTGATTGAGACCAGTCACATGGGATTACGTCCAGTTCTTAGATTCTACATGAGATCTCAGTCAACCTAGCTGCTAAAACTGGACCACCATCCTTTAAAATCTCAGTGGTAAACTACTTAGGCCCTGCTGCTCTCCTTCTCTTCGGATTACCTATGGCCTTTTCAACTTCACAGAGATTCGGGGCACCTACATTGATTTACCATTCAGGTTGACTGGAAATCGTGGGCAACTGAAGTGTAGCTGAAAGCCAATTGAACTGATCCCTAAAGTGTTCTGCCCATCGATCCAATCTCCTAGATTGAGAATGAATAATAAGACCATCTTCTTCCGAAATAGTCACACTTACATCCCGGTTCCTAATACTAGTTTTCTTGATAAGTCTGAATAGTTGTCGACTGTTACCTATCGCTGCTGCCTTTCCCATCCCTTTTGCTTTCGCCACCTATCACTGTTTGCGATCATTGCGTAGGCTTTTTGTCAGCCTCTGCCTAAGCTGACTTCGCTGTTCGTCATGTTCATAGCCAGGCGGGATGGGTTTCCGAGCATCCATCAGTTCGGCAGATGCTAGTGAGATCCACTGTTTCTGCCTAACCTTGTGGTTTACCTTGCTAGCAGATATCAGTGCTGTTTCCACAGCATTTTTGGATAACATTCCAAGCTGCCTTGGGGTGGAAATCACTTACTACATGGACGCCTAACTGTTTCTAGTTGTACCTGAAATATATTCTTAGTTTTACTATCATTAAGTAGAACTCTGAGAGGTTTCCTTGCAGTGTCTTTCCTACGTCCAGTAAGTCGCAAACAAATACGCACTCCCACTAGGGCATGATCTGAATCTAAACATGTGCTCCAGAACGAGCGACAGTCCTCTATCGAACCTCTCCATCGGTGGCTAATAGCGATGTGATCTAGTTGTGTCCAGCGTTGAGACGACTTTGGGGGTCACCACTATTAGTATATCAGAGCACCTAACTTTTTGGAGGTGTGAAAGCAACATACATCGATGGCGCGAGATTCTAAAGTCCAAGCTAAGGAAACTTGTCGTTTTATTTGGCACAATATCTGGACATTAAAAGCTCCAGTTTGTAGTTCGAAAGTGGGTTTCAAGAGACCAGGAATAACGTTTTGTGTACTCAAATTGTTTGCATCAGCGGTGCGGGCTGACAAGTAGATGTGAGAAGGGTGAATCGTGGAGATAAAAGAGATCTTAGGTGAAAGGAGGATTTGATTGTGACCGATTCGGTCTCATGTGCTGTTACGGGTATGAGGGCGGATGTCATTTCCCGGCTTGTCACACCGTGGAAAGGTGTTTCTTGAGGAACCTGAAAAGGAAGGTAGATTAGCGTTGGTCTTGGAGACCCGGTAGCGTGACCTCAGATTCCAAGGGACAACTGCTTAAGGCTGTTCACGCACGGCCTTTTTATGAGTTTTAAAAGTAATACCTTCGCTCTTGTTTAAAAGGCCTTGCCGCCGGAGACGGAAGTCCACGTCGCTGCAGATGCTGGTTGTCCGAGGGAAACGCCTTACTGCTTTCACACCCCTCTACAGTCAGCAGCACGACTTCGCCCTCAGACCTTGAGTAGCTGCTTTTAGTCTCATCGTTCTCCAATCGACCTGCCTGGCACGGTAGAACCCTCAGGAACATATGTCGCGGGCAATATACCTCGGTTGGGTCATCACGATAGACAAGCCTGACCTCCACGTCAATGTAGCAGCTACAGTTGGGTTTATACTACTTGATAACTTGTTGATATATTCTATTGCTTAATATTTATTTTAAGGATCGCTCTACCTACTCGTAACTATTTGTGATAAAATTATATCTACGAAGCAGTTGTCGATTAAGTTAAGTAGTTTGGTAATAATGTGTTCACGAGATTGTCTTTATTTTAGTACAATATTAGGTACGTTGTACTAATATCAAATAAGTTGAAAATAGCTCAGCAGGTCGTAGTATGTGCTAAAACTATGTGAGATTTGGTTCAGTAGCTCTCCGAATAATATATGTCAAAGTAGGACGACTGTGTAAATCAAAGTTAGGAAGTTTTAAAATAGCACACCAAATGGCAACATAATCTAATGAGAAGAAGAATAAAGGTTCTAAAGGAAGAAACAGAAACTGTTCATGCTTTAGGAGAACAAAAACAACAAATACATTTACTCAGGACTGCTAGTGCTGGTGGACCTGTCATTGATTAACTTACGGCCACTTCCATAGAAATCTATATTTTGATTGGTGATTTCATCGTTTGATATTAGTGATCGGAAAATAAATCATGGCCTAAACAACTTCCGAAACTAGTTCAATTTTATCATTTATCCATTCATAGATTCCATTGTTCGACTGTAATTCAACTGACGATATGTTTGTGATTTAAGTCTAAATTTCTAAGTGGGTGGTTTTGATTCAGTTTTCCTTATTGTTTTAGCCACAGTGTAATTGGATTGCTTCAAATGCTGTTGTAGTCAATACATAAAATATCATACCTTGAAATAAATCAACTTGGGAAAAGTATTCTTTTTCTAACTAGCATCTTTAAATTGTTTCATTAAATATGGTATCATTTCATAGAAGCGGAATTTCAGCCTATATATATATATATATATATATATATATATATATATATATATATATATATATATATATATATATATATATATATATATATATATATAGGATGTTTCATGCACTGTCATGAATAATAAGTTACAATGTTTAAGTTGCAATGATTTTCGTTTTAGTTAAAATAAAACATATGTACTATCGTTTAGTAAGTAAATAAAATATTTCAATTTTATTTCGTCATTAATTTGACCATATTGTAATTTGTTGTGCTTTTTTCATATTATCCAATTCTGTTAAATCTTCATTATAAGTTAATATTGTTAATTTAGTTGAATTCTTAAATAAATTAATTTGACCTTTCATACATTCTGGTAGTTCAAAATGATCATATTCATTATTTTTACTGTGAACAAGAAATATACTTAAACATTTTATTGTGTAATTAGTTTGTTTTGTATTGAATGATGATTCAATTGATAATGTTTGTTTACCAATCCAAAAGTTGAAATTTGACCAACTTTTCAATGATAAATGATGTTTCTTCCCACTAGTTAATATTTGATCACCAAATTGTACAAAATTATAATTAGTTAATGTTTTTATTGACCATGGCCATGAATATGTTAAACGTGTTGGTGAAAACCATGAATTTGCTTGTGCACCATATGTATTAAATATTAGACAACATTTGATATGACCAATTTGATCAAGTAATTCAATTTTAATGCTATGAAAACCGAAAAATAAATTTGATGTTAAAAAATGATTAATATTTTGAGTATGATAATGTGTTTTCGGTTTATACCAAATGTTTAATAACTGATTACGATACCAACAATTGCATAGATTATTACTTTTCAATGGAAACGAACTAGGTGGACTGGCTATTTCTTGATACCATAATTTGCTAAACGAGATATTGACATGTGTATCAAGGACAATCAATAACTTGTTAGTCTGTGGTAATAAAATGCCATCAGTTTTACTAGGCATTAAACCATATGGTATGACATAAATGCGTAGTTCATCAGCTTCATATAATGTATATAAATAGTTTGAAAACTTTGGCGGTAATTGATAATTTAAATTATCTACTTTCTGTGAATTTATTGGCAATGTATAGAAAAATTTCGGATATTCATAATATACACTGTTTTTGAAATTATTATATTTTGAATTTGTTGCGTTATTCCATTTGCATTGTGAAATTGCTGAGTTAGGATTGTCAACAATTAATATATAACCTCGTAGAAATTCACAATCTATTCGTTCGTTTTTCAGTTGTGCAATCGTACTACGACCAACCGATGATAAGAGAATAACAGAATTTGGATCAAAAACTACGGAAAATGCTTCATGGCTGTATAAAAAGATAAGAAAAAGTGATGTAGCGCATTTTGTGCTGTTACCTATATTCTGAAAGAGGCTATAAACTTACTTTTCACTGATTTATATCATGTCTTGCTTGAAATAGGGTTGAAGTTGAAGTAAACTTATAATACTCACTTACTTGCTTTCGCCTGTTACCTCCAGCATTCTCCAGCCTACTCTATCCTGGGCTTCCCTTTCTAGTTATATTCAGTTGTTGTTCATTTTTATAACGTCTTAAACAGGGTGTTGTTAAACAGAATGAAGGACTTCGTAGACGCTCAAATTCGAGATCAACAGACCAGGATTTTATGCATAGATGCAAATGACTTTGAATTGTCTATATTTGATTAGTTCTAATGAAATTCTTATCTTCGTTTGTTTTAAATCTTGATTATCATATTGAAGGAACTTCTAAAGTCTAGGTAGTTTCCTCATACTAAGACTAGAAATACCCAATTTTATCCAGAAATAACCACTTCAATCAATTTAGGCAATCATTTATTCTTAATGAAGATTTCTGGTAATTTGCTTCCTGACTTCTGTCCAGAATTCTAGATACATTTTTCTCATTACTGAAGCCATAGTTATCACTGATTATTTTAAATAGCTTAAATGTATCATTTATATCTAGTTTTATAAAATTTACAAATAGGTTTTCTTCCTGAATCCAGTTATATTTCCAAAAACTCAGTTCGAATTCGTGGGGGATTTAGAATTATGAAGTAATGGTTACTAAGATAATAACATGTTTAATTTTAAGTATACTGATTGGCCTTTTCCTACAGATATTCGAATAAATAAAACTGTACTTATTATTGACTCATCAGTAATACTTGTAAGACTTTCGACTCAGTTACAATCGTAAAGTTCTATCTCTTTATCATGCGAAAACGTGATAAAATGGTATTAAAAGCTGATATATATATATATATATATATATATATATATATATATATATATATATATATCAAGAATTGTTAACAAATGTTCAAAACATCTGATTGTATAATTCCCTAGTTCTCCGTGTACGTAAATAAAAGTCATGATAATATAGGCTATAATCTGGTATGATTCCATGAATTTTATTTTTAATAGATACAATTGCATTACGGGGTTGTGAAGATTGTTAAGTTACACATTTTTGAAACCATGAATCGACCAATGTTAGACCACCATTAGAAACCTGAAAGCACTGGACGGCCGTTTCGTCCTGGTATGGGACTCCTCAGCATTGCGCATCCACGACTCCTGCACCCTGCAGGATTCGAACCCAGGACCTTCGGTATTGTAGGCGTTCACCAGGTTTCGAATGGTGGTCTAACATTGATCGATTCATAGTTTCAAAAATGTATAAATACATTTGTTGAATGTGCACATATACTTATAAGCACTGACTCACCTGTGTAAAAAATACATATATTAATCATATATATGAAAGATTAATGCAACCATAAAGGGTAAAATACCTTGTTAGAATAAACTTAGCCTTTTCCAAAAGTTCATATTCGTTCCAAGGATAAGAAGCTTTTAAAAATAATTTATTGAACCATGTATACTTATCTGCATATCGTGCATTGAATTTTAATTGAACAACTGGATTATGATTAGACCATAATTCGTATAGTACATATTTATATGATCCACTATACCACTGATCAAATAAATCATGTTTATACCAACTAGTTGACATCTTACTGCTCATATCTGCTTGATCGGTAGTATGGTCAGTTTGCGTTTCATTAAAAGCTGTATTTTTATTTAATATACTCGTAATATTTCTGCCGGTAGAGTATATTTTATTTATTGATAAACCAGAATGAGATTTCATTGCAAACATTAAAATTGCTCCATTATGCATAGCAGAATCTTGCCAGTCTGTTGCTTGAAAATATGCTTTATAGGTTGGATGGTAAAGTTTATCTTCATGCTGTTGATTGGTTTCATCATTGTTGTTATCGGTAATCAGCAGTGGTTGATTTATTATTGTTGGTGTTAAGAGTTCTTCCTTCTTGAATGAAGATGCTTCTGAATAATCATACTTTGAACTATTCAAAGAGTAACTTACACTGATTGGCTGTTTGAATGTAGTTTACATAAAAAAGAAAAGTAATAACTCATTATGAAGTACATGATCAACCGCGAGACAATTATAAATGACTAGATATATTGTAGGCTACTGAGTATTGATAAGTAGTCTGTCATGTCACGTTCAGCTCAGCTTTACTGGTGGTTTCCATTTTACATTACATCATACGATTTGTCACGCAGTTGTTTTCAAAACGAGTTACCCAGCAACCCGTCCATACGTTCAACTAAGTTTACTGACTGCAAAGATTGATTTTATGAATTGTTAAAATTAATCTACATCGTTTATCCCATTTTAATGTTATATAACTGAGAAGGATGATATAGAAGGTACTTAAGAATTTACAGTGATTTATGTTAGCAGTAGTTTACGAAATTCAACCCCTTTTTAACCTAAAATTTTCGCAGAATCTTGTCAGTACTCCTCAGACGAATTCTACTGAACATCAGCGAACTTATCAGTTTATTATTGAAAGTGATTAATACGATGATTCCGTTTTATTTCATTATTTTCCATACGGCTACATACAGGCTAACAAGTTTCGTTATTTAAATGTACCTGCCAAAGTATGTGCATTAGAAAGATAAAAAGGAGGATATTTACACTTTTCACTGCCGAAAACCAATGCTTTCAAGGACGAAACTGTTTTCCTGGTTCTCTCACACTCCATCTAATAGGTATGAGACAACAAATGATGCAACGAATTCATTCAAATTGATCAACAGGCAATCTAACTCTATCCTTCTAAAAATCACGTATGACATAATAATAAGAATGCTTAAGCTTAACTACTGTATTCAGAAAGAGTCAGTGATTGACTCTCAGCTATCTTGTTAATAGGTGCGACATAAACATCTTGACTTGTCATTTATCAATAAATTTTAATCGCAATCTGGTGAGTCCGACTCACACATACTTTTCTTTCCAAACCTCCTGGATCTTGGTTATTTTACATACTTAACAGATATCTCTTTTCACCTACCTTCGATTACTTTAAATATCACATTCTTAAATCTCAAGAGTAGGCACTTACAAAGTTTATAGTATGATCGTCGAACAACTAACTAAGAATAAATTGTTTTATAATTGCTTTACCGCAAGGTGAGAGATTGTATGATGAAGCTGGACACACCTATAAAGACTTCATCTCAAGTCGTACCAACATTGGAAAAATACACATAAGTTGAAACTGAGAACTTATAACTGTCTGCGGCTCAGCGGCTGGATTTACCTGTATCTCGAAGTTAACGATCACTCCAGGACTCAAACCCCCATCTCTGCTAATATTGTTTGTAACCTGAAGGCAATATCGAAACGATCCGTACAGGATGCAGTTATGCTAAAGAAAGTGATCAGTTTCAGTCCTAAAGATCAATGAGAAGATTCATACAACCAGTACAAATGAATGTCTGTATTATAATTTGGAAAGTATTTGTCAGAAAGTTCAGTATCACGGATCTGATACTGATGCACAAAGAACTATGCGATAACCTCCTCCAACTAGCTACTAAGTTAGAAGACAAGAGTGAACAGTGAAAGTCTGTTGGACTACCGAGTTACATACACATCTATGTATCTACATTTCTACCTCTAAGAAAAAAACCAATCCATTTTCTCAGTCGATACTATCTGTTTGTCACCAAGTAACCTCATTCGGTTACTTCTGATTAGTTCACTTTATCAGCATTCATTTTATTAGATTCTGATGTTTGACAATGAACTTCACACGTTGTTTATCATTTACGATGTAATTCTGTATCTTTCACAGCTTACTGAATTTTGATGATACTTATACATAGTTTAGTTTCGGAAGTATTTTTAGCATATTTAGTATAATTTAATTGAAAGTAGTCTGAAATATGTATTCACAAATATATCAAAGTAACAAGGAAGAAGAATGTTTTTGAGTCGTAACCGAATAATTTAGGCGCTTCATTAATCCATACTTCACCAAGATTTGGGGTGAAGAACAAATACCAACAAACTGGAAATAAGCATACCTGATCAAAATACGAGAGAAAGGCAATCTCTGCAAGTGAAAACTACAAAGGTATCACTCTCCTCTCAATACCAGACAGCCTTCAACACAGCATTGTTAAACAGAATAAAGGACTTCGTAGGCGCTCAGACTCGAGATCAACGGGGTGGGTTCCATAAGGATCGATCGTGTTCCGACCGAATTGCAACATTACATATCATTGTAGAACAATCACTTGAGTGGAACTCGTCACCCTACATCAAATTCATTGACTAGAAGAAAGCATTTGATAGCGTGGAAGGGATAACACTATGGAGGCTTTTTCGAAACTACGGCGTGCCTAAGAAGATTCTCAACATCATACGGAATTATTTTGATGGATTAGCCTGCAAAACCGTGCACGGCGGACAACTGGCAAACTCGTTCGAGGTGAAGACCGGTGTCAGGCAAGGTTGCTTACTCTCGCCCTTTCTCCTGGTGATCGAGTGGATTATGAAGATGACAACATCTGGACGTCTCAGGTGATCTGGTTCTTCTATTGCACACGCATTAGCAAATGCAAGAGAAAACGACCAGTGTATCAGCAGCCTCAGCAGTAGCAGGTCTCAGCATACATAAAAGGAAAAGCAAGGTTCTCCGATACAACATTACATGCACCGTCACTCTCGATGGAGATGCCTTGGAGGACGTAAATACCTTCACATATTTGGGCAGCAAAATTAATGAGCAAGTAGGATCTGATGCAGATATGACGGCGCGGTTCGGCAAAGCATTTCTACAAATGGGGAACATCTGGAACTCAAAATAACTATTGAATCAACACAAAAGTGAGAATTTCCAATACAAATTTCAAGACAGTTCTACTTCATGGAACAAAAACGTGGAGAACTACGAAAGCCATCATTCACAAGATACAAGTGTTTATTAACAGTTGTCTACGCAAAATACTGAGGATCCGTAGGCCAGAAACCATCAGCCTCAACCTACTGTGGGAGAGAAAAAAACAGATTCAGGAAGAAGCACTGGAAGCAAATAAGATACACATTGCGTAGAGCATCCCAACTGCGTCACAAGACAAGCCCTCACTAGGAGCCTTCAAGCTCAAAGGAAAAGAGGACGGCCAAGAAACACATTACGCCGAGAAATGGAGAAAGATATGAGAAGAATGAACAAAAATTACACAGAAGTGGAAAAGGAAGCCCAGGACAGAATAGGCTGGAGAATACTGGTCAACGGCCTATACTCCATTGTGGGTGACAGGCGTAAGCAAGTAAGTAATAATCTATTCGATTTCATTTTGAACAAAGGACTAGTCTAATTATTTATTCTGTGATAAAAATAACTCATGGAGTAGATAATTACTAAAATTTTTTAAATAAGTTTTATAACTGTATACTGAACGCAGAGTGAAATTCCGTCAACCGAAGGGAAGGAAATGTGTTTTTATTATTTAAGAAAATTCGTAAAACTTCAAATTAATTTACAAAATTTCTTTACAGAATTTAAATTCTAAGCACTTGCCTGTAGTAATTTGCTGGAACTTTTGTTTTCACTCGAATTGTCAGTGGTTGTTATTTTCGAATTATTTCGTTGAAGAGTCTGTTCAATTAATTTCGATAACAGATTTACCATCCTATTTAATTTTATTTCACAGTTACTCTGAGTTTCATTATTGAAGTTAGATTGATTCAGCATTTTTGTACTTGGTTTGTTGTGTATCGTTTGATGACTAGGATCAGATTTTGAATATGAAGGTGATATACGTGATATGGTAGGTTTTCTTCTGTTATATTTTTTGTTCTCTGGCTTATGCTGAAAAGATTTATGGTAAGCCGTAGTTGCCTCTGTAGTAGTAGTAGTAGTAGTAATAGTGGGAGTTGACTTTGTTAAACCAGTTTTCGTTTTTCGATTGTCATAATGTCTTAATAAAAATAGTAATTCTTGAAGCTTCACGTTTAATATATCGTCGTTTGTTTTACTTTTGTAAATTTGTGGGTTAGCCAAACGTATCCGAGATTGTCTTCTGTCATTATATTCACCATAATCGTAATAATATTCATACTCATTGTATGGATATTGGTTTCTTGGTTGTCTCATATCAGGATTTCTCTGTTGATATGCATATTGATACCAAGGATATATAGCAACTGTCTGTCCATTCACTTTTTCAATAGGTCTTTTAAAAAGTAATCTTTTAATTTCCCTACAATATTCTGGAACTGACAAAAATACATTGATTAGATTAAATCAATAATTTCTTTATCAAGCCATTTGGAAATAGATAAATTTATAATCAGTTATAATGAGCGTATTGAGATACTTTTTTATGCACAATATTTCCACAAAATGACTAATTCTGTGATCGAGTTTATGCATTGGATACTCGAATGGCACATTACACAGAGACCGGATAACGTTGAGCCAGATACATGATTCACGACCAAAATAGAGAACCATAGTAAGCGATTGACATTATTTCACTCTGCACAATCACAATCAGTGACATTCAGTGAGTCCGAAGTGGAAATCAATAAGAGGAAATGGAATCACATTAAATGGCCGGTGGTTTGTGTCTGTTTATCCACGTCCGATGACAAATCACACTTTTACCACCACATGATCAGAATAAATAGTCTCAGTAGAAGAAATATTTTTCCTTTAATTTCACTTTCAAAAAGCTTGATATTAAATAAAGATGGAAATGTTCAGCCTAAAGAATTGACACAGTGTTCTCCATAAGACCTGAACATTCTTGGTACGATCCCATGAGGAGTCATGAAAACTCACTACCAAAAAGATCACATCCAGGACAAAACAGATGCTCAATGCTCCCAAGGGTCCTGTGGTTTTCCAGCCTTATTCCTTTATTTTTAGCAACTAATCACATATGTAATGAGAATATATAATCAGACAATCGTTATAGTCGAGAATTATATGACAACCTTCTACATTTTAATTTATTAGTAGTCCATAAATGCTGATATTTATTGTGTTATAGACTTTGTAACATCATATAGATTATTGAAAAAACTGATTTAGACTACGGAGTTGAGTTTCTATTTTCACTGCTTTGCATAATATACAAACTGAATGGAAAGGACATATGATTATTTTTTTTATCTCCAAAATAATAATAAATATTACTTAGGAAAATATGATAAAATTAAAATATTTACTTTTCATTGGACAAATTACTTCAGTGGGATCGAAATATTTTAAATCTAATTCTTTATAACCATTGAATTCAGTTAATGGAAATGCATACTGTGAAGGCTTAGCTAATCTACGTACTCCTGGCTGATTAGCACCTGGAATTCCTATACTGAACACATAATCTACACGATTGTGTAATTCTTCTATGACATTTTGAGATTCAATAAATATCTGATTATCTTGACGTTGCTTTTTCTCTGGAATATTTCCATTTGTAAGTAGAATACACATTCGTGTAATGTTTTGTGTATCCATATTATTTGTTGAAATAAATCCAAAATTTAAAATGTGTGAAATTGCATGGATTATATCTCCTTTCATCATATTGTCATCCGGCTGTTTCATACTATTGATTGCCATTAATAAACTGGGCAAATTTACAGAGTGTTCTGGTTTAACGGCAAAATGTATTTGATCCGTAAATAAGATGACAGATATCAATACTCCGTCACTTTTGATAGATAACTAAAATAATATAAATGAAATGATATTCATGAAGGCTGGAAAAAAATTTGTGGAAAAACTATTCAGTTGGGTTGTTATATTTTATTTAAAAAATGGCTGCAATGTTACAGTAAAGTAGTACTTCCATTGTTTACATTTTTTAAGCTAGGAAATCGTTACATAACATAGACTTTCTAATTAACTTGAGTAAACTGTTGAAAAATAAGTAAAAGCAGGAAGCTATCTTGTCCTAGTTCGGGACCCTTCGGTAGTAAGCGACTGTGACATCAGGAATCGGACCCAGGCAATTTCAGTCCGTGATGAAAACTGTTTGAAAATGGAACTGATTCATGATTGGATTCTACTTAATTATTTGCACAATGGTCAAGCAAATTTCACCAGTGACATACGATTTTCGTCAGTCAGTATCACCGACTGACCAAAGTTGGATATGTAGACTACTACATGGAAATTCATTAGTTTAAAGGTAGTGCAGTCATTCTTAAACCTGTGTGAGTATTATTGAAGAAACACGGACTTAAACGAAATAGCTATCCTATGATCCATGATCTTCACTACTGTTTCAGTCTATGTCAATTCATCACCCAAATTATCTCATAATTGAAATTATTTTCTCGAACAAATCAGATTAACTTAATTAAACACATGATTTCTGTCTTATAAAATCCATTCCTCTGAAATTACAAGATTTATCCATTCAGTCACTTTATTTTTTAGAATTCAGTGCAGTTGACTGAATCTCTATCACTAAAATTTTTAAATATATAATGCATATATCTATGTATATAAATGTTCGTCTGAATTTTCATGAGTGGACCTTATACCAGGAGATTCACTGGTTGACTTAGAATATGCCGATGACATAGTTCTACTTGGTGAAGACGCTGACAGAATGCAGAGTCTTCTGACTACCCTCAGCAACAATGCAAGCAATCTCGGGATGCGGTCTTACCTCTCAAAACGCAAAACGTTGCTTCAAGATTGGCTTGCGATGGCATCTGAACTAGTGATAGGGAGTGAAGCGGTAAAGCGTGTTGACCGCTTCACTATTATCTGGAGTCTCACAGTGTTGATGGCCTGGTTGCTGGCGAGATCCGAGTACGGACAGAGAAGGCTCGACTGGCTTTCGTCAACTTGCATCACTTATGTAGTAGGCGAAATATCCATATGCTAAACAAAAGACGGGTTTACTATGCAGCAGTTCAATCCGTCCTACTTTACAGCTATGAAACATGGCCGGTAAAAGTTGAGGCTGTTCGTAAGTTAGTAGTATTCGATTGCAGATGCCTCCGAAGCATTGTTCTAGTATTGAGTGACAGCCGAGTAAGCAATGCTGTTGTTAGGAAACGGGTGCTATGTAAGGATGGCAGTTCAATAGATGAGGTGGTTGGGACATGTGTTACGTATGTCTAACCATCGACTTCCTCGTCGAGCTATGTTTTGTGGTGTAGGAATAGGCTGGACGAAAGCTAGGGGCGGCCAGACTAAAACATGGCACAAGCGGACTGAGTCATGTCGGTAGATGTAGGCTACCTGGTCGGGGTCCGCGAGATGATAATAATCGATATTAATAGAGACCTTGAGTGACAACGACTAAAAATGGATCTCACTAACTAGGTGAGTAAAATCTAAGATGTTTTTTATGCGTTTTTCACTGATCTTGTACAATTTTCGTCAATGATATAATTCGAATGACTGGATGGCAGTTAATTAAAGTCATAAAGATTATTACTTTGTATAGATATATTTACAGATACTATTTAGATGCTTATATTGTACAGCGGCATATTTAGTTAACTTTCAATCAATGATTTTTTTATGAAACATGTGATAGCTTGTATTTTTTGATAGATGGCATAGTTTTAACTTCACTGCCTTAGTGAAACAACAAAAGTATATAATTTGTATTTTTAACATTTTCTAGCTTATCTTAGATTTAAAATGAAAGCATTGATTTTACTCAAATACAATAACAAAATGATTTTTCAAAATTAATATACAATTTTGCAAATTATTTGCAAATTTGCGAATTATTTAAATTTTGTTAAAGTTTCCTTGAAAATCCCAAAGCATTATTTATTGATTTCCGCTATGTCACAACAGAGGACAACTTGAAATTAATACGAATTATCGATACATTTATTATATTTTTCTCTTTTTCTTCAATATTGAGTTATAATATGAAGTTATACTTTTCATGGTTGAATTTTATTTGATTATTTTTAAATCTATACATGGATTTTATTATTACTAATACTGTGGTGCGCGCTACTTATAAGTAGTATATGACGCGAGTGTAAACGTAATGTCTGGCAGCAGAAGATGGGGAAAGATCAAGAAAGCAAGAGTGGGAACACAATGGAATTTGTGTGAAACGCATGAATAGTGAAATGTCAAACAATGGATTGATGATGGATCGAAGATTTGCAAATTAACGGTTACGATATGGTTTTCCTATTTTACTGAGTAACTCAGTAATTTTCGTTAAATACAATTCGGTTGCCCTCACCTGTGTTCCCCTTCACTACAATACTACTATTTATTATTATTATTTGTATTATTATTACTGGTTATATTGTTTCTTCGACTTAGTTGATTCTTATCTTATTACATTTCATTAACTTGGGCCAATAAATATCTTTTTCATATCCTACATTCTTTATGACTTACTCAATGATTGTTATGTATTAGTCAGAGCTTTAGATTTTTCAAAAAAAAACTATACTGTACTTTACGATCTGAAGTAATAAAGTGATTATAATCCTATCGAACCTGCACATATTATTAACATGAATCAGTCAAACAATATGCATAACATTCGAACAAATAAATGCATAAATTATTTATTGATTAAAGTAATATAACGAATAAGAAATCCTTTATTAAACAACAGAAGCTGCTTCAGACATTTAAGTCTAACATAATTCAACTGTTAAACTCAACCGACAAAATGAAAGTGATAATTTTTTTTCTCTAGAAAAAATTTATTTACCTTTTTAGCTAAATCACTTAAATAATCTTTCACATAGAATTCAAATGAAAATTGATCAATTACTTTAGTTCCATCCAAAAGAATAACAATATCAGCTTTGATTGATTTAAGACATTCTGAAATCGAAATAAGAAAGAAATAAAATGAGCTGTTAGTAATTGGTTAAAGCAAAACACTATCTTACTGTTAATGTTTTATTTGAAGTTTCAAGTGACAGTTTATTTATGTTAATTGAATCATAGTTTATATTTGCATTAATTGGGAAAGTATCCATGGAAATTAATAATCAAGGATAATGATAAAAAGAAGATCTGTAGTTTAAGCAGTTGATATTGTTGAAGTTCATTACTCTAGAGTGGATAGTTTTTCAGTCTATACGCATCGTTTTATGCATAATATTCTAGATGATACTGTGTAGAGAGAAAGATTAAAAGTTTCCTAATTAAATTGTTGAACTCAAGGAACACATATTCAGTAAAAAGACAGTTAGAGATCAAAAACATTGATGAAGTAATTCAACTGGTATCAATATTGATTGTCGATAATTTACTCTAATTTTTGTATGTACGTTTAGAGCTTGCCATGATTTATTAAAACAAACAATCGTGTTAAACAGTTTGTTGTCATCTCCTCACTAATATGTATTATCAAATTAACTACTGATTATTTTAAGTAGTTAGTGAAACATTTATCTACACTATTCAAATGACACTGGAGTGTTTCGTATTAGGGTTTAATTTCTGTAAAGTAATAAAGAATAAACTTAGTGATGAATATTACTTCATGTTAATTTTTAGATTCGAAATCATTATTTTCACCTAAAAATTTAACATATTTATTTACTTTGATATAAAAAATACTCATTTCAGTAGTCTTAAACAGAAATAATCTGTTTATCTATTTATTAACATGAGCAACTGGTTTAGAAAAAATCTGTGTATTCTGTTTCACAATTTAGCCTTTTATATTCAAACTGATAAAAATAAACTTTGACAAAGTTTCAGTAAAATAATCATGCGGAGCTTTGAAAACTATCCAGTTCTTTCATTATAACATTCACAGTTTCTATTTAAAAGATTTTCAACGATTATTTGCTTCATTCCATTTTCTTTCCGTTAATGAGTATTGACAAATCATACAGTTTGCTTGTTCTTCGTTAGATGCGGAAATATATTTGGAAAAATATCATTTTGTCTGTTATACAAATGTGGGAGCTGACTCAAATCAATTTTTTGCTATGATGTAGTAATGTTACAGAACTGATGCATAATTATAATATTTCATGCTTATGTTATGCTATATATCCCCTGATTTTTCTGTTAGAAATAAAACGTTTATTAAACTGAACGTACTTTTTCTCTCTTACTCGCAAGTAATTTGTCAATAGGTTAATTATCGTTATGTTTTGACCATTGATTTATCTTCTCATATCCCTTTAGTCATATAAGGATCGCAAAACAATTCGAACGGATTACTGTACTAAACTTTTATCATTTATCTGTTCCTTATTGCAGAAAGAAATTCATCGACCAGTTGATAGTAAAATTATTTTAAAGTGTTATTACAAATAGTAATCAACACATTTATTGGACTAGTAGAAATTCATATTGCTTCAAATCTTTTATTTTTTTTGATATTAGGACATTTTTGATTATTTGACCTCTAGATATCTTCTTTTTTATAAAACTTGTCAACATGATCTTGATTGTAAAGGTTTCAAAGGTCTCACTACTGAACTAACCAGTTGGGTAAATACAACACCGAAATGATACATAATTATTCATTTTATTATTTATGAATTGAATTTGATCATTTTACCTTATAATAAGTACTTACAGTTTCCCATTCGACAGTAATTCCAATTACTTTGCAGTTTATGCTATTCAAACTTATTCTATTACTAAAAGTATAGGCTTTCATTAATAGTGTATTGGTATGAAACAGTCATACTTAATGTATGTCCCTTATTAGTTGGCACTGATTGTTGGTGTTACTAGAGTTTCGGATATTTGAATGTTATTGACAAATTTATCCAAAAGGAAATAAACTTTTTCAGTCTGTGATGAGATTAGAATCAGTCATAAATTCATTTTATTAAACCTTATGTTTACTCTTAGTTTATGGAAAATATAACACAATCACCACTATAACTTTTTTTACAAATAATGAATATTTATTTTTGATGATATGACTGTTATCCTAAAATAATTCATAGAAATCACAACTATTCTTTGAGATTGTAAAGGAAGTTTGTAGCTCAGATGGATATTGTTCACAATACAGTTGTGTCAAAAAAAACAACAATTGTAGTCCTTAACATAAATAACGAGATGCAAATCCTGTCAAATAAAGTATAATCCACTGCCGTTGCACAACCTAGCGGCTATATGGACTCAGTGAATGAAGTGAGAGAAACAGGACTCGAGCCCCTAAGTAAACATCATGAAAGGTGCAAGTAAATCTTTCTGACAAGTTTCAGATAAGGAAAACATGAGTGGTGGATTAGATTTTGTTAACCACTATCTCATATCGCTTAAAGATATAACGATACTCTTAAGTAACCAACGATGGAGTTTCGTTTTCTGGGCTAGATATTTTGGTTGCGGAGCTTTCACTGTTCTTCTTAATAACATCATCAGAAAAATTATAGATAAACATAGGATCAAGAAACAAATCAAAGGGGAATACAATCAAAAATAAGGTGCAAAAAACGACAGGTGTAAAGTCAATATCAACCAATCAAGATTGAGGTCAGCAGAACAAGCCACGAGTCCAACGTAGAGAAATTCGGATACTTTACTTCTACTTGAAGTTTGTGCTCATGATGTTGTTCAGAAGAACAATCAAAGTTGCACAACCAAAACATCCAACTCAGAGGACTCAATTCCACCACAACTGTTCTTTATCCAGATTTCAATCAGAGGAAATAGTAGTCCAATTTAGCAACCAGAAGATACGATTACCATTAAGACTTGTTAAACGACAACCAATGATATGATTCGTTTGATTACCAAAACATAAACAGAATAATTCTGTCTATTCATTTAGGGATTAACAATTAACTAGTTAGTTTTATTAAGGCAGCTGAAGTAGCATTTAATGAAAATCTTGAATATCAATATCGTCATCTTAGGACATGAAACTTATGCCAAAAATACATTTTTAGTTGTTCAACTAATAAAAAGATATTTATCGCTTACCTTCATCTTGTGTTATAACAGCTTGTAATCGGTGAAAAAATATGATCCATACTAGAATTTTTAACCATAACATTATTTGTGCATGTAAATTTTACAGTTTAAAAATTAATTCTTAAAAAATTGAATAACATTGAAACTGTTAACAAGTACATATTACTATTATTTAATGCAATCCAATTGGATAAATTTTCATTTTTAAAAATGGAAATAATGTTTATTTTCAATAATATTGTTTTTCAAAGAAATACTTATCTGTATGTATATATAAGTTGAATGTTATATGATCTTTCATAATGATTTACTTATAGTGTTGATTGAATTTAAAATAAAACACGTTTACTATAAAAAAAAACAAATTTTTAAAAAAAATCAAAAATGATTTATTATTAACCCATTTAATAAATCATTATCGATAATTTTTTGTAGTCCAGTTAGTCTACCACTGTTCGCTGACACGCATATGCGAATAAATTGATCAAGATAGTAGAATATATATATATATATATATATATATATATATATATATATATATATATGTATATATATGTGACGTAATCATCTGTGTGATGACATTTTTATTAAAGTACAGGTATTGTTGAGTATTTAACATATATTTTAATTGGTGATTAATTTTAGCTAACGTTTAAAATCTACTTTTCGAAAATTATTCGAAGCTGTTCAAGTTATCACTCAAAGTTTCAAGATGAAACAAAGAAATGCAGCAAAAAACTGAATGCAACAGTAACAGTAGCCTTATTCAATGAATTAAGAATCTTTATCATCAAAAATGAGTCACTAATCCAGTCAACAGAAGGGGCTCCAGAGCGATTTTTTATTAGGAAGATCACATTCTCAGAAGCTACACAAAGATAAAAAATTGTTTATTTGGCTGCTTTTTGTTCATTTTCGATCTCACCAATTCATGGCTGCATTGATTCGAAATAGGGCTCACTACTTTAATGGCCTGTGAGCTGACTCTTATTTATGACGTTCGAGTATGCCATAACATGAATCTCGCGTCCAGTTTCTGTATGTCATACTTGAGTGAACCCCTTTTCTGCGACGGCGATAATTAGCAGCCAAATACGGATTCGGTTGGATTAGTTTAGTTCAGGCAACCGTTCATACACACAGACATGAGAATGAGAAGTATACAAGCATCGTGAAGCGAAGTAGAGAAGGCAAGTAAGCCAGCTCAATGCAATGAAGAGTGATCAAGTACTATAGATAGACAAAAGAAGCTAGAAATGCGATAAGCGAAGTAAGCGGCACATACACGTACTTGAATAAAAACAACCAAGGTAAAATCGAATAGTTGGCAAGGCCGGGAGACGTGTGAATAACTAGAGAAAAATGAATTTATTAAACTGTCCAAAGGCTAGGACAAGCCCTGTGGGCTCAACATAAAAGTATACGGGCTACAGATATAAATAAACCAATGAAAGCAAATCATATCAGTAGGACCCTTTAGAATTCCATTCAAATTAAATAACTGACTAGATAGTAGGATAGGATCAGTGGCAAATAAAATCTGGTGCACCTATTTTTTTTTCTAGGTTTTATAGCAAACTGAAATTTCATAAACCTGAATTCGAAGAATTTCATTCATGTTAATGCTAGATCCATGTAGATGTTTTAACGGTATTAAGTACATGACAGAAGTACATCTTACCATCATACATATACATCACTTTAATGTTATTAATATACTGTATGAAAGTTTATCAGTTGGAGTTAACAATATAAAATATTTAACTATCCTCAAATAATCAAATCAGATCAATCAATCTGAAAAAATCCATAGATTCTTGGGAAAAATCTACTTTCGAATCTCAAATAATTTGTATGAATATATAATAATAGTAATAATAATAATAAAAGATATGTGATTAATGAATATTGTTCAATTTGAAGTA